TAAATTTGAGCCATTTACCTATTGCATTAATAGGTTCAAAGGATCTGTACGAGCATTCTAATGACTCTTTAACTGCTTCAACATATGGGCATTTATGGGTTAGGTCACCAACAAATCTTTTTGCTTGGTCAAAATTACCAATTGCCCTTCTACATTGAATTTGATTTTTTTATGCAATGAGAAAGATACAACACCTATCTTGTGAATTCATGATCTTTCCAATAAGCAGTTGTATGATAGAGATATATCCATAACCTAAAATTTTATATTGAAGACACATGATCCAATCTAGATGGGTAGCTCAACGTCTCCCAAGACTTCTCACATAATCTCATCAAATGCTTGGATCACCATTTGACTATATTGGATATGAGACATATCAAAAAGTAATTTAACCAAAGTAGACATAAGCATAACGTTAATGGCTGATCCATTATCAACAAGAACCTTGACTACTATATGGCCTTTACATTTAACACAGATATGCAATGCCTTAGTGTTTTTTATCTTCTGATAGAATCTCATCTTTGCTGAAAGAGATATGGTGTGGCATCACTAGATTGTTTGCCAGATGATTTACATATTTCATAAAAATATTATGGGCTACATAAGTCTGATTCAATGCCTTTAACAAGGTATTGCGATGCAGTTCAAAATTTAGAAAAATGTGATAATAGAGAAATTCTAGTTGGCATCTTATTCAATTATTTCACCGTAAAGTACTCATTGTGTTTGACTAGCTTTAAAAACTTATAGGCCTCATTTTTAGGCATGAACTTTTGAACATTATTCTCTGAGATCTCTGATTTAGGAACGTAAAATTCTATTACTTATGAGCATTAAATTATAAAATCTTATGAACGTTAAATTTTATCCTATTGTGAAATCTTATTTAAATTAATTAATATCCTGTTTTTATTTTCATTTGAGCGTTAAATCATCTCTTACAATAAGACCTGGATGTTGAATACAGTTGCTTGTCTTCCTGAGGATTTTTCTATCAAAAAGAGTGCTACAATTGGGGCGGGTACCCTATGGATCATAGTTTTGACTTCTTTGTTAACAATGCTTCTTAGAGAAAATGAACAAATTTTATTTATTTTTCAATATGGAGTCTACGCCCATTTTTTGAAAATATCTAGCTTTCTGTTTATCTCTAGTGTCTTTTAATTATAAGCTTTTATTTTCACTTATAAATGTGAAATTTTACCTAAATTAATCAATATCTTTAAAAGTAAAAGTCATTAATCAATATCTTTAAAACGTGAAATCTTATCTAAATTAATCAATATTTAAATTAACCAATATCTTTAAAAGAAAAGGCAAATAATCTTTAAAAAGAAAGATAGATCGAAAACTTTTATTGGAAAATTAACTATATTATGTATTATACAAAAATAATGAGTGGTCCTTAATTATTTTTTTGAGGTGTTATCCATGATGTAAAATTTTTCTAATAGGATTACTTTTTGATTCATGGGATGAGTAAATTGTTTTTAAGAAGATTTTGTTTGTTATTTTTTTACATATGGAAGTATTATTATATATGTAAGTTATTTGTCTTTTTAATTACAAGATTGTGTTTAGGTGTTTTTTTCCTTTTACAAATCAATGGTGGAATCCTACAACCTTTGAAGCCATGCATGCACCTTGAGGAACTTGATGCACTGTTTCATTGCTTATTGTGTACAAAATTGAAATAAAAGAAAATCTTCATTTAAAATTTAAATTCTCAAAAATAATTAAATCAATTACTATAATCATTAAAAATTTAAATTCTCAAAAATAGTCAAATCAATTACTGACAAACAATTATTAAGAGGCGCATGTTATCTGTTGTCCTTAACCTTGGGTGACAAATTGGGCAATGTGTCTCCTTTGCCAACCATTGATCTATGCAAAGTCTATGGTACTGATGTTTGCACTTAAAACAAACCCTACAATCATCCTCCTCCTTGTCGTTGAACTCTTCATGGCATTTAGCACAATTAGTTGCTTGATTATTGTTTATGACAATATTGGTCTGATCACTCAAGATTGCCCTTGAATCCTGTTACTGCTGCTGCTCCTGCTCCGATAGCTGTCTTTCTACGTCTTGAGGTAGCCGAGTGCTTGATCGTTGCCTTGTTGCAACAGGTGGGAGATCTAGCTTTCGCCTCAATTCATCATACAGTTTAATCGCAGATATAATTATCATAAATAGATTCAACAACAAGGCGGTACCTACAATTAGCAGATGTAAAACGAATCTACGTGACATAGACATAGTTACAAAGAGAGAATTGAGAGAATGATAGGTTATTTTGAAAGGTTGAGGCTCTGAGAGACAAAGATATATCGGTCTATGAGAGATTTTAACTATATATCTACCTTTGAGAGATTTTTACTTCTTTTTAATTAAAGCAAGAGATTTGGAGTTATTTTAAGTGGAATCAGTAAACAAACTCACGCAAGGATTTCCTTTTGATTATTACGATCCTAAAAAAGAGATTTTTTTTAGACGGTTAGATAATTACTTTCGTAATAGAAATTTATTTGCGTGGATAAATAAAATATAATTTGTTTAAACTCATAAAAAAAGATTTTTTATTTAAAACTCTTCTTTTAAGTTATTTTAATTTTGATTAATTTATCTAAAAAATTTTACAATAAATTTGTTGAAATCATATTCTTTTAAGATATTTTACCTTATCTTAATTTTGATTAATTTATCTAAAAAAATTTTTAATAAATTTATTAGAATCATATCACTCTTATCCAAATTAATCAATATCTTTAGGAGGAGTGAAATCTTATCTAAATTAATCAATATCTTTAAAATGAGCGTGAAATTCGTTGTTTCCATTTATAAGCATGAAATTAATATTTTGCTTTTATTTTCATTTATTAAAATGAAATGATGTCTAAATTAATCAATATTTAAGAAAGAGCGAATAATTTTTTGTGGAATCCCATTCAAATTAATATCTTAAGAGTATGAAATCATCTATAAAATCTTATTTAAATTAATCAATATCTTAAAATAGCTTGAAATCTATTATTTACGAGTATTAAATTTTATGAACGTTAAATCTTATTCTGTTATAAATCTTATTTAAATTAATTAAAATCCTATCTTTATTTTCTTTTGAGCGTTAAATCATCATTTATAGCAGGACCTGGATGTTGAATACAGTTGCTTGGGGCAGGTACCCTCTGGGATCATAGTTTTGACTTTGCTGTTAACAATGCTTCCTAGAGAAAATAACCAAATTTTATTTATTTTTCAATATGGAGTCTGCGCCTATTTTTTGAAAATATCTAGCTTTCTCTTTTATCTCTAGTATCTTTTAGTTATAAGCTTTTATTTTCACTTATAAACGTGAAATCCTATCTAAATTAATCAATATAATATTTTTAAAAGAAAAGGCAAATAATCAATATCTTTAAAATGTGAAATCCTTTCTAAATTAATTAGTATCTTTAAAAATAAAGACAAATAATCTTTATAAGAAAAGACGACCGAAAACTTTCATTAGAAAATTAACTATATTATGTATTATAGTATACAATAATAATATGAGTGGTCCTTAATCATTTTTTTGAGGTATGATCCACGAGATAAATTTTTTTTAATTGGATTATTTTTTTCATTCATGGGATGGGTAAATTTTTTTAAGAAGTTTTTGTTTGTTATTTTTGTACATATGGAACTATTGTTATATATATAATTTATTTGTATTTTCAATTACAATATTGTGTTTAGTTTTTTTTTTTTCTTTTACAAATCAACGGTGGAATCCTACAACCTTTGAAGCCATGCATGCATCTTGAGGAACTTGGCACACTGTTTCATTGCCTATTCTGTACAAAATTGAAATTAAAAAAAATTCTTCATTAAAAATTTAAATTCTCAAAAACAATCAAATCAATTACTGATAAATAATTATTGAGAGAGGTCGGTTATCTGCTGTCCTTAGCCTTGGGTGACAAAGTGGGCAATGTGTCTCTTTTGCCAACCATTTATCTATACAAAGTCTATGGTATTGATGTTTGCACTAAAAACAAACCCTACAAGCATCCTCCTCCTCGTCGTTGAACTCTTCAGGGCATTTAGCACAGTTAAATTTGTGGCTTCCTCTATACAAATTCTATGGTATTGATGTTTGCACTAAAAACAAACCCTACAATCCTCCTCCTCCTCGTCGTTGAACTCTGCAAGGCATTTAGCACAGTTAGTTGCTTGATTATTGTTTATGACAATATTGGTCTGATCACTCAAGATTGCTCTTGAATCCTGCTACTGTTGCTGCTCCCATGGATTGCTTGATTGTTGCCTTGTTGCAACAGGTGGGAGACCTGGCTTTCGCCTCAATTCATCATACAGTTCAATCGCATACATAATTATCATAAGTAGATTCAATAAGGCGATACTTACAATTACTAGATGTAAAACGAATCTACTTGACATACACATAGTTATAAAGAGAGAATTGAGAGAGTGATTGATTATTTTGAGAGATTGAGACTAAATTAAGATTGTTTAAGGAAGTCAGTCCCTGAGACAAGATTTTTGCAAGAAAAAAGAGAGTTTTCTCAAGGTTTTGGAAGATTCTCTTAGAAAAATTTGATCATATTTATAAGGAAAAGGCCGAAAAGGAAGAGTGCTGCTGCCAAATGATGAGTTCAAAAGTCAGGAAGATAATTCATAGAACTATTTTTCACAACCGCGTTCTCACTTATCAATAGAGAGAAGTGTTAAACATTCGAAACTTCCCCTTTAACTCAATCATTAATCTGATCTAATATTGACCCAAAATTAATCAATTTAAATTTATCTATCTTTGTAAAAGATGTAATGACCAATCTTAGTATTTAATTTTGAGAGGTTGAAGTAATATTTTATAATAATAATTTTTAAAAAATATATCAAATCTATTAATAATAAAAAAAAACATAATTGAATATTTATCAATTTAATTTTAGTTATTATAATGCTCGTTTATATGTGTTGTTCTCATTATAAATATTAGTTATTATAGTACTCGTTTATGTGTTGTTGAATTAGCAACTTGTGAGTTTGAACATCAGAACAACATCATGTCAATTGAATTTTACAAATAACTACTAAAATCAAGAATGATTATTGTTCATCTGTTGTTTTATAAAATGGTATGGTATAGGTAAATTTAAGTAATTTAAAGTTGACAAGGCCTTTTAATGAAATAAAACTACACTCTCAGCCTCAATCAATCCCAATAGTTAAGGCAAGCAGATAAAATGTCTATGCTGACTCCACCTGTAGAACTATCTTCATGAACTCGTACACCAAATAACCTATGGCTGCTGATGGCAAGACCTGTAATGTGATGAAATGAATTAAGTTTGAAAATGAAGAAATTTCAAAGACTTTGAAACAAGAAATTGGTGCAAGCTAAGAGCACATATGTTTCGGCGTCTCATAGGCTCTCCTAAAACTCAAACAACTGATGCATGCAAAATCAGTGGGAAACTTGTCTATTAATATACTATAAGACTCAAGTTCTTAAAGCTTAGTTTGCCAGCATCTGTATTCCGATTTCTGCCGCCTAAAAGCACTCAAATTTGGAAACTATCAGATACAATGCAATCCAAGCTTTACATCTTTGAAAATTCAAAAACAGTTTAAATTTGGTAAATGGTAATAGTAAATACTGCACTCACTTCTATAATTATGGCATCTAATTAGTCAAATAGATATAAAAAATCACTAATAAAATGTGTAATCCATTTTGCTAGACAGATTTATTTAGTACCTGTAGTAAGCTGGGAATTAATCCCACATAAAGAGCAGGAATGCCACCTTGCTCAACTATCTTGACACAAGTTGCCAATGCACTTAACTTTGTTGCACGGACTTGCATTTGAAGATGCCTCCTCACAACTTCAAATGGATATGTAGCAGCTTCAGAACATGCACCAGCAATTGCCCCATATAGTAATGTTCTAATAGGACCCAACTCTAATTGTTCAAATGCATTCAGTTCCTGACCACCTTGTTGCATGTCTTGAATTCTTTTTCTCCCCTCGGGTGAATGAAGATAGGCTGACTTCAATATATCATAGACACCATAGAAGACTGCACCTGAAGGTGCCATGCTTATAATTGAGGGCACTAGTCCTTTGTAAAGAGAAAAGAACCCTTCAGTCTCAATCATGTGACGGAAAGAACAAATCAAACCACCCAATGCTTCTCCGCCAGGTGCTACCATTACTGTTCTTATCTGCAATTAGCATGTACAATGTGATTTAGCAATTATTTTAACTTGAGAGCAATTCCAAATGCCATAATCAGGAAAAATTATAACAGCACAACCTAGATTAACAAATGAAAATTGCTCTAGCAGAGTCGTTGTTCAAATAGTTATATCAATAGTAACCATCTGTAGTCTGTATCAGAAATGAGGTATATTAGAAGGCAGACTTCAAATTGGAAAGAATCTAATACAAAAACTGAACTAGGTTGAAGAAATGGAACAGGATGCAATTAATTTCATCTGCTTCTGTTAGGCAAATAGTATTCACAAAATTAAACCCCCACTGACCTGCATCTACTAAAGTCAACAAAGTTATACTATTACTTTGTTCTAAACAGGTGTCAAATACAAGGAGCATTACTATGTAATAACGTCCCATAATTTACATTAGACATCAAAATATCCAAATCCCATAACCCAATCTAAATCAGATACTCTTAAGCATAATATTCTTGGGACAGAATACATGTTCCAGTTTCAGACGGATATCAGAGATGACCTGAACACGGCATCATGTGAAATCTTTGATACAAAAATCACAAGTAAATGCAACAGCAATTAAACCGTAAAGATTGAAGAGGTGGGACACATCAGGAGGAGGTCATCCTCTTTACATCCACTACATATAAGGGCAAGTAGAGTAAACTCACTGAAGTATGCTACTTCCAGTCCCATCCTTGCTTCTCATAAGATCATTAAGCCAAATCTAAAAACATATACTAAGAATACTTCAAAACAAGATATCAAATTTCACAAAATCCCCCACACCCCAACCAGGCCACACACATGACACAAGAAGGGAAGGCTAAAATGTTAGTGAATTCCTAAATTTCACATACAGTGTCCATTGGTAAGCAAAGCAGAGTAGCAGTAATCCCTGCTGCAGCACCAGCAAGAAACCTCTGAAAATTTGTGGCTTCCTCTTTTCCAGATAATCTCAATAGTTGACTCCTATAAGTATCATAAGCATAGAAATTGATAGCCTTAAAAGGAGCAGTGCGAAGAATATTGATAAAATTCCCTTTCCAAAAACCTTTCAACCCTTCTGAGGCTGCAATAGATTTAATTAGTTCAATGAGGGTTCTTTTTTCACCACGAACTATGTACTCCAACTTCAGTCTCTCCAGAGGAGCAATGAAAGTCCTGTTATAAAAGCAAACAACTATTTGAGCTATGAAATATGATTCAATAGATAATAATTCAACAACCGGAACCAAATAACCATTACTTAAGGTAATATGAGCGCTACCATTGAAACATAGGAGATGCAAAAGTACAAACTATACATAAACCATAATCCTTTTCAGCACCATCATGTAAGAAGCGTGCTTGGTAAAGCTTTCAATTCAACATTAAATTTGAAACTATTGGGTAATATGTTAAGTAAAATGAATATAATCTCTAAACCATTATCAAATTATGAACTCATTTTCTTGTAAACATTTTGCCACATTATTAATTCTTTTCAGATTCCAGCTCTCATACTCATCAAAGCTGTTCGGTTGTTCAGCGCTTATAATTCAGGATTCTGACTAGTCAGTTCTTAAATTTTCAGACTTTGCCAAACAGCACCAAAAAGGAAAAGTCTAAGACAGTGAAGATTTAAGATCAAGTTTTTGTCATTTAATGTTCCATCTGATACAAAAGTTATAAGCAAGACACAAAAAATTTTCCATTGTTTTCTTTCCTATCCAAGTTTTCCCTGCCACTTTTCCATGACAAATTAAGCATTTTATAATCCACTAATGTAAATAAACAATAAGTATAGGGAAAAAAGAAAGCCAAAAACCTTGAAACCATAGCAGCAACAGCACCAGACCACAGATGTTTGGTGGTATTCAAAGCACCTGATCCCTTTCTCACTTTCACCTTCTCTTTCTCCTCTTCCACCAGTTCCTCTTCTTCCAAATTCTTACCCCCATTTTGCCCCCAAGTTTCTCCCGATTCCCCAACATACCCTTCATCCCTCGACAAGCTCACCGATAAAAACCAGCCCCCTTTACCACCACCTCTCCTCGGCTCAAAAGAACGCAGCGTTTTACTGCTCTTACCACCACCCAAAAAACACGAACCCAAAGACAAATTGTCATTGTTATTTACCAAACTTTTCTGGGTCTTTAATGAAATGAACGAAACGAGCGAGGAAGGCGGTGTTTGGTCGTTGAGAAACAAGCCACCCAACAAAAATGGACGATCAAGATTCAACTGTTGTGAAGCCCAGATCGAGTCAATGAACAAGTAACGATCTGGGCCGTACATTATTAGAGAAACTAAAATTCCTAAGGTCTGGAAGGATATGAAATTAAGGAGGAGACAGCATCGAAGGGGGTTTTAAGAGGAAAGTGAGAGAGGCGTGAAGAAGAAGAAGGAATGGAATAAATGCTAAGATAGTGAGGTGGCATATGGAGAAAGATGCCGGCGATGATTCTCCGACTTGCCCTTCCATAGTCGAAGCTGGCACCTACCTTGCTTTCATCGAGTTTTTGACTTCTTGTTCCTTTTGGAAGTTTGGAGTTGGTTGTTGGCGGCGTCTTTTTTTTTTTTATTGTTTTTTGTTGGGTTTAGGACGGCGGGCAAGGTCAAATATTTTTTCAGTTTGGCGAAACAGAAACATAGCATGTGACACACGTGTTTTCCTTCAATTTCCCGCATTATTTTATCGTTTAACAAAATTAAAAAAAATAAAAAAAAGTGCACAAAAAATAGTTTTTTAAGAGATCAAAGTTAATTTCTAACAAAAGGATTTACACTCTGTATTTTATTTTGTCAAATTTTTTTTAGATGTATCAAAATTATTTTTTAAATATTTAAAATTTTTACTTTCTATTTTTAAAATTATTTTTACTTTTTAACATTAAAAATTATAAAATTTTTAACTTTTAAAAAAAATATTTAATTTTAATATTAAATATATTAAAATTAAAAAAAATTAACTTTATAAAAATTAAAATCGCTCAAACAATTTGAGATTGAATAGTTTTTTAAGGATATTTGTTAATCCTAAGTAGTGGAATAAAACAATTCACAAGATCAAAATCTAGAAAAGAATCATGCTATCTGCAACTGTGCAATTGGTTCATGAGAATATATTATTCTTTGTCTAAATCCTTTTGCAAAGTGGAAATGCCCTTAACATTTTTTTTTTTTCATTTTCGCTTCAAGCCATCTACTGAGGTTTTTTTCAAAGTTGTATATTTTTATATATTTATATAAGATATAAAATCCATTAATTCTTAATTAGTCACAAAATTGGTTGCTTGTCATTTTTCCCTTGTCAAATCATATGCTTTCCACGTGTAAGATTTCTATTCGTTTGTAAATCGAAAATGTAATGGAAAACGAGATCGATCTATATTTATCACTTTTTTTTCAATGAAAATCTATTCCGAAAGCATTTTCTGAACATGGAGAACATGTCCCCCGTATCTTATAAAATGCACCACCAGAAAAATAAAAGGTCATGGGCTTAGATATTGGGGCAGCAATTCCTTTTCAAGCCCTGATGGACAGCATAGTTTTTTACGTAGCATTTCCCTTGTTGTTCTTAAATGTAAGGATGAAGTTAAGCCTCAAGCGAGTTGGGGCAAGCAGGGTTTTAAGTAGGGGTGCCAGTCTCATCTATGTCCAATAAATTTTGATTTAATTTAATTTTTAAAAATTAAATTTTAAGTTGGATCAAATTAAAAAATAATAAAAATATTTAAAAATCAGATAGAGTTTAATTTTAAACAAATTTGCTTCTATTTGATTCGATATATATAATTATTTTTTAATTAATTATTTAATTTTATATTTATATAATTTTATATTTATATTAAAAATAATATTTTATATTAAGTACGATTTTATATAATATCAAATTGAGTTTAGATTCAAATATAAAAAAAAAAAATTGCATCTAGTTTGAATTCAAATATTATGAATAAAATCGAACTAAGTTTAAAGTGAGCAAACACTTATCCGTTATTATCTTTTAAATTTAGATGCTGAATGTTAGGTAAAAATTGAGTTTGATCATCACAATATGACAAACCAAAATAGTCTCTTTCGCTGCAACATAGCAAGCGCAAGCTGAACATTGCATGCTTGAATTAAACCATGTAACCCACCACACCATCAAGTTTTCAAGTCTCTTGGAAATGGAAAATTGTTCACTCTTCATTTTATATTTGGTATTTTGTAAAAAGATTCATTATAATTGAAGTACACACAAAAAAAAAAAAAAAAACTCATCTATAATCCTTTTTTCATGAAAAGATAGTCCAAATGGAATGTCCTCGGCCCTTAACATGTAGTAATGTACAACCATTATTTGCTTAATAATTGAATGCTCTTCCTTTTCAAGCTATAATATTAGACATGATCGTATTTTACATAGCATTTCTCCTTTTGTTCATAAAAGTACGAAGTACCTGCAAGATTTGATAAATATAAACAAAGCAAGTCTAACCTCTCAAGCAAGCTGCTTTTATAAGATGGTGTCAAAGTTAGGTAAGAATTGAATTCCCTGTAACCCTCTCTTTGCAAAGCAAATAATAATAATAATAATAATAATAATCATAAAAATAAAACTATGTTTTCTCTTTGAAAACTACAAAACATTTAATCCCAAATGCACAAATATTGCATATTGACCCACCAAAAGTAACTGTTCTTCGTTAATGAAGAGTCCAGATATTTTTGGGTACTGCAATTCCTGCAGCCATGCTTCTCACTTCTAAGTTCTAATTTCTTATGCAAAGAGAGATGGGAATGCATCAACTTTATGACAACATTTGCGAATCTAACTGTAATAAATAGAAGTTGCATGGTTAAATATCTAACAGTAACTGAAAATAGAATGTGTAGGAAGGGGAGGTGGAGGGGTCGACTGGCAATTGTAGGCCATTGCCGAGCGGCCCCTCCCCTCCCTTCACCGACGAATCAAATCAGTTCTTTGATTTGGGCAATTTCATGATTGAGCCTTGCCAGCTCTAAATTATTGGGTTGCATTTCTTCTCTCAGCTAACTCTGCTTTCAAGCTACTCAAAAATTCTTCTGTAGCTCATTCAAACTATGCTGGAAAATGCATTTCAGTTTTGTAAGAAACAAGAAAACCAATGAGCATTATTCAATCAAATCCTGCTTCGTAAACATCATCAACCACCATCTACCGTCTAAATGTACCTCAGAATGTCACCATCCAAAAACAGGTAAAAAAGATAAAAACTTTCAAATAAAATAATCATCATCCAACCATCCCAAACTTCAAATCTAACTGCCCTTATCCCAAAGCCACATAAACCCAACAAAGACAGAACCAAAACATTGTGTAGATAATAAAAAAAATAAGTGTTTTCTTTGTTATTTACATGGATTTGCTGGGGATGTGCATGAACAGTGACACATCAATTCGGGTAGTTTTTATCCCCCAAGCATTGTTATCTCTAGGGATTTTTTTGGATATTTCATCATCCTCGTTGTAACCATTGATCATGATTTTGTTTTTTGGACAAGACACCAAAATCTATCGGATCCTCAACGAAACACCCAGAGGCTACAGGCTAGATTAGGGTAGCTGTGGGGGGGGGGGTGCCTGCTAAATAGTGCAAAAAAAACCCGTGAATCTCTTTCGATTTTGTCTTGATGTATGTGGCATCAACTAATAAACCCTTTTTTCTAATTCAGCTTTTAGCTTCACGTGCAGCGTAGCTTAAGTTTTGATTCCGACAACCAGACAAATCTCGTACCTAAATTTCATTAATATCTCCCCCACTCCAGATTTTCTGGTTTCTCTTTCTCATCTTACCCTTCACATTCACCAAAATCTTTTTATCTCTCAATCTTTTTTTCACTTTTTTTTAATCTTATCCATTTTTCTCCATGCCCTAATGTCGAGTTGTTACGTGGAATGGACCCAAATAACTAGACTTTGCATTTGCATGGTTGTTGAAATAGTAAATTATGGCTATAAAAACGTGGATGCTTAATTTTGGTTGGCGTGTATTCCTTATAAATTTTTTTCGGGTGATTTTTTTTGCTGCATTTAAATGTAAATTTCAATTTGATTTAATTTTTTTTTTAAGAATGAAAATCAAATCAAGGTCGGGTGGGGGCATGGAGCATTGTTTCTATATTTTCTAACAAACGGCCATAGAAAGGTATTTTAGAGTATTTTAGCCTCAAAAAAGTGTCAACCAGTAGAGATGCATAACATTATTCTTTAACTCCTTTTGCTTTTTTTTTTTAAGGTTTAAGAGGATAATTATGAGTAAATTTGACAAATAATCATTAAATATTAGTTTGTATAGTTGTTGAAACTTATAGACTATATCAAATCTATTTAAATTAAAGTATCAAAACACATTTTTGTTTGAAATTTTGAATCTTTTATTTACGTAAAAAAAATTTTTATGTTAAAATTTTGAATTTTTATTTAATTATTTTTAATAATTTTAGTAAAAAATTTTATCAAATTAAGTTCTGCGTTTATTAGCAAAATCTTTAATAAAATAAAATAAAATTATTAAAACATTAACAAAAATTCCACTTAATTTTGTATCGAAAATCGAAATCAAACATTTGAGGATAAACCAGAAATCACAAACAACACTCCCAAAAGAACGGATAAGTAAAGGACTTAAAGAGAAAGCCGAAAGTAAAAAGAAAAGCGATAATAAAGGAGAAAAGAAGAGAAGGGCATTTACGTCAAAGTAAAAAATCAACGGCAAGGGAGAAGATTTGTCGTTGTTGTCGAAGTCCAAATCACGAGCCTCTTTCTGGCAAATCGCGCCACCCTCCTATCTCCTCCGATGTAGCATTTCAACGTTCTTTTTTTTTTTTCTCTCTCTCTTTGATACTCTATTAATAAAGGAGAATTAGTAATTAGAGCAACGTAGAAAATAAAAATTAAATCAAATGCAAATTTGAAATCGTCTGAGATTTTTTTCTCGCTCATTTTTTTCCCCAATGGCCGCTAAATCGATCGAGGAGGTGAGTTTTTTTTTTTTTTTTATATAAATAATTTTGGAATGTGTATCTCTTGACTCTTTTCTGCCTCTATTGTGAAGTAGGAGCTGTTTTTGGAAATAAAATTTCTAAATTTGGATTGAGTGTCAAGCTTCTTTGTTTTTTTTTTTTTTTTTGAAAAAAAAGGAGTATTTGCTAGATTTGCTGCTTGAGCAAATGTGGGAAAAATGAAGTAATTTTACACTTCAAATTTTTTTGCATTTTCTCCTTGGGATCGAAAGGGAATTGCGTTTCACTTTTTTCTCTTTTTTCCCGATTCGGTGGAATTTTCTTATAACGGCATATAATTAGCTGAAACATAATGGCCTTTTTGATCTAGTCTATCTTCCACTGCCTTTTTAATTTTAAAAAATTTAAATTTCCTGTTTGGTAGCTGCGAAAATGTAGAACAAGGAAGATATTTTCACTTTTATTTTCTTGCATATTCTTCAGTTTCTCGGTCAAATGCAGTTCCTTTTTTTACTTTTTAAGAAAATTTTCCGTGTGGCTATGATTACCTAGACTTTCTTGCATTGCCTGATTCCTATTTATGATTCTATTTATGTTGATTTCTTTATTCACATTGGAAAAAGAAAAAAGAAAAAACTTTTGTTTTTTTATAGAAATTCTTCATCTCTTCAAATTAGCAAATTCGATTTTTTTTTTTAACTTTAAAATTTTATTTTTAAATGTCATCCATTAATGAATCTGAAGAAAATTAGAAAAATCAGCCTTGACTTCGTGTGGAATTTCTAAATCATATCAGTCTTACATTTAACTTGACACCCACTTGTGGTTTTAGTTAGGAAAAGAACCTAAAAAAGAAAAAAAAAAAAAAAAAAGAATTTTTTCTTCTTTGTTATGTAATTTTTCTGGCCTTCTTTATCAAAGTTTATTTTGCGGAGCTTTATTTTAACACCTAATTACTTGCAGGAAAAACCATTCTTATCAGGGATGGTAGATGGAAGCTCCAATTTACCAGTCAACATTTCATGCATTGAGTTGATTAAGCCAAGCTTTGATGAAACCGATCAGCATTGTTCTCTCGGTTAGGATATTCGAGTCAGATAGAGTGTTATTCAATGCCCTCAGTTTGATAAGCATGTTTAATGGATTCCTTTTATTGAAATTTCAGATGTCTTGCCCATTATAATAGAGGAGACTTCATTTCCAGTAAGAGAAAAATGCAGCTTAAGCACTCCACATGTAAGTTCATTCCTAATCTCCTGCAGTCTTTTTCTCCTCCGCAATAAATCCAATCCAATCCAATCGTCCAATCATCTTGGTCTGAGGGGGAATTTTTAAAAATTGACTTGCTCAACTCAGTAATCTGAGATGCATTCGACCAACCATATCTTTCTTTATAGCAGCCCGCAATGTTATTAATGGAAATTCAGGCTGTAATCGAATCTTAAATTTGTTCTAAAGTGATGGGCATAAACCTGCAAAAATGTTAGTACATGTTTATATCTCCTGATACACGCTTAAAACCTGTTTTCAGCTATGTAATTTTTTTATCATTAATATAAAAGGGCTTTTTTAGTAAATTTGCTACTGCTTGAGAATCAGTTTCTCCTCTAAAAGTTAAGGGAAGAAGATTGCTCTTTTAAAAATCTGCAATTTGGCTTTGAGTTATGCTCGATCTTCCCATGAATCAGGTCAGCATGATCTCTTGAAATCCTCTGTTTTCTCTCAATCAGATGAGTTCATTTCTAGGGGAAGTGAAATTTTACTTAAAATGGAACTTAGATAAAGCGTACACAATTGCAGGTCCATTGAGATGACCTCATAATGGAACAGGTGTTGAATACTTCAAATCCAGTCATGTCCCATGAGATTTAAATTTAATGCTTAAATTTGTATTGTTTTTCTTGTCTCATAATTTCCTTTTTTGGCTTCTATTTTTGTTATCGTCTAGATTCCTATACTTTCGAAGCAATATTGTGATCTAAAGAATCTCTATTTAAAAGTTAGTTCCAACTTTTTGTTCTTTCTTATAAATAAATTTCTTTAAAATGAGAATTTGGAAATCAATTTAGTTGTTTTTTGCACTTTTTCTATGGAAATCAATTTAGTTGTTTTTTTTTCACTTTTTCTATGTTCCTATTTATTTTCCATTCCTTTGTGCAGGGCCAGGACGTCTATAGCATTTCTGTTTTGCCTGAGGAAGGAAACACGAGTCCAAAATTTACACCAAAGTTAACTTTTTTGAGCCTTGTAGAAGTTCCATTTTCATCTAGAAAGCAGATGTCTTTGGATGCGCAATTGAGTTGCCAGAACTGCATTGATTTGAAAGTGGATAGTGAAGATGACTATTCATCTTGTATTCTGGATATAAACATTGAGAAAGGGACTCCTGACATACTTAAATCCAGTGATGAAACTGTTGGAAATTCAAAAAGTGAAGGCGTAGTGACAGTAAGTTCGATCTACATATATAAATAGGGCATATTCAGTGAAATGTAGATCATACATATAGTGAGGGCTGTACCAAATTTATTTATTTAATCATCAAAGCCTTGCTGATCTTCCTTGGGTTTTGATACATTGTTTCTTCTTCACTCATGACTCTAATGTTAGATCTCAATGAATTACAGCATTTGCAGAAGGTGTTGCAGAGACAAGCAAGCCTAATTGTAGGTGAGAATTAACTCAGCTTTGAATTAATGGGTTAATTGCACTAAAACTTACTCTGTGAGTCTGTAAGCATATTCTATTACCACTAGATACCTTTTTAACAATAATTTCCATATGTCCCCCAAAATATATGGATTCATTTTCCATTTCCATGGTTTAGTAATGATTGTATTCTTTTGCATAAGATATGGCTGGCAGTTTCTTTTAAACAAGAAACAAGAAAACATCCAAAACAATAGAATATTCTGCTAGTACCTGAGCTGTTATAAAGCACTTCAGGTTTCTAATGTTTCATGGATATCATTTGATATGGTGGTTCAACATCTAGACATGCACTTTTAACAAACTGACTGAGATTTATAATAACTAGCAAAAAGTAGAGTTTCCCATAGTACTCTGTTCACATGGGTGCTATTAGAGTTGAAAAACATTTTAATCTTCTTGTTTCCCCTGCCCTTGTACCTAAACATTACCCTTACGAAGATTAAAGTTGACAAAAGAACTTCATGTGACATGTGTAATTCCAGTGAATGATAATTGAGAATAAATGAACCAAATACAGTCAGTGAATAGGTCTGTGATTGATACTTGGCAATTATGTGGCAACTGTTAAATCAAAGGGCTCTGAAGCATTCAAAGATCAAACTCTATTTAATTATTGTTCCTGATCAGTGAACTTCGGTTTTGCTATGTGGTTTTTGTAATTGTTTTTGGAATTGTCTGCTACCTGTTCTCTGCGGTTTTTTACTTACACATCTAGGAACTGTCTAGTTCCTTTTGCTTATGCGAATTGCATCTTTGATTCTTAATTCCATAGGCTACGTCTTACTCATGCCATGCAGAATGTGTTTTACATCTTAAACTGAGTTTTATTTCAACAGACAAATCATCGACTGAGAGGGTTCATGATGCACCAACAAACAGATGGAGAAGATATAAACGAGCTGCTTCATTTGACTCAAGGAAAATTGTCCTCCATTTCTCAATCTTGTAAGCTCTGCAATTTCTAGCAATCCAGCAGTTTACTTTCAAACTACAAAATTTTCATTAATTGGTACTTCCATTTAGTAAGACAAAAGCTTTGGGTAATAAGTAATAAGCTTGTGCCAACTAAAATAACCCAAGTAGTAAGAAGCTTGTGCCAAACATTAACACGATGGTTCTATCTTGTATGTAGATTTGCTGCGGATATATTTAGTTTAAGAACTCTTAAGTCTGATAGAACTTTACAACATTAAAATTTAATGGTAGGCAATGCCGTTAAAATGCTTAACAAGTAAAATTAGGACATATTTCAAATCTAATGTGATTGAGTAGTGAAAAGAATATGTAAATCATGATATTTGAAACCATTAGATATCCAAAAATTAAAATATTTAAGAACAAGTTGACAACTAAGGAGGAAATATTTTGCATGGAACAAGAAGGTTTGGGATGTTAGGGAGATAAAAAATAGAAACCATTGATGCAAGACATGAAAATCTAAAATATAGTAATTGATTAATAAGTATGTGATAGGTAGTTCAGTCGAAGCTTAAATTCATTTAGAGAATTTTCTTTAGTTATTCTGATGAAACTTTATTAGTGAGTTGTTTGTCCATTAGTCTACTTTGGAAGTTGAACATATTATTAACTCAATCCTATATTGAAATAACTGCTGTAATCTCATTTCTATTATTCTATAAGACTATCGATTTATTCATATGCTCGTTTTCTTTTCTTATCTATTAGGTATTGTACATTGTAGGAGTCAGTTGTCTAGTTTAATGCTCAAAGACTTGAATTCTCTAGTGCATGACTCCAAATCATGAGAACAACCACTAAAAACCCTCATTTTGAGCTACAGTTTTTCCATTTTTTCCCCTCAAGCAATAAGATAGTCAACCCTTGCTACAACCTAGCATGACAAAGATTTTACCAAACAACATGCATCTAGTAACTAAATGTATGATTCATCTGAAATTGATGAAAGTACTCACCTTCTACGTTGTCCAATGTGATACCCACCTCTGGTTTGAGCTCTATTCATTGCCCATTCATCACATAAAGCAAAAATGTCATGCCACCTCCTGTAAACTGATACAATTTTTTTTCTACTAGTACTAACAGTAATCAGAGTTCCACTTTTGATTCTTTTTCTTCATTATCTTCTTTTTCTCTTTCCATCATCGACTTATTGTTTCGTTTTTGGTTCAGGTCAATTGTGGGGACATTGATATTGATTTATCTGACGCTGAGGGTTAGACAAACTAGCGATGGGTTCAATCATGTCTAGCACCTTCGCATTGGTCACCTTCAAATTTATGCTTGAACTAGTTTTTCTCGAAATTTCTCGAGAACTATTGTCTTGAGAACTGCTGCTTTTAAGTTTAGCTTTTCAATGCTAATATATATATATTTTTTGAGTTTCCACTGTAAGTATGACTAGTGATTCGGCAATGCAGCATCTCTTATCACTGCCTAGTGAGTCTACAATATTGGGGATCGAGGAATGTAGCAATCGACTAGTATAGGAACAGAAACCTAGAGGGCAATTTGGGTTAAAGGACTAAAGCCAAGAGTTTCCTAAATCCTCGTCGTTGTCCCGTTCTTAGGCCAAAAGGCTCCCTAAAGGAAAGTACCTCATTGTAAACCAAGAGGATGCCTAACGTGTTTAGCTAGTTGCTAGTTGGTATTGAGTTACTGCAAGGACTGATGTTATATCAACTTTTGGCATGTTCTTAGGGCGGTTGTTGAAGATACTTCACTTGAACTTGTAATGATAATTATAACATCGAATTTGGTCCCAACATCAGGAATCTTATAACAGCAACACCGTAAACAGTAAGACCTAAGAACGAGGATTACTCCAAAAATAGCGTATCCTTTCTTGGGCCTAGTCAGGAAAATGGTGATGGTCCTATAAACTTTATGAGACAATGGCTGTCACTATTAAAGGGACTGGATGGTCGGCTTGGACTTGGATAAACATCTAACCCGAAACTCAAGATCTTCTCGGGCACTGAAACTCTGAAGGCAGTCCCTCTTTGCATCCAAATTCTGGTCAACAGATGTCCAATCCTCTGCATTTTATTATTGCAGTTTGTTTTTTAACCCCTCAAGGCACCTTTTTTCTCTAGGAAAACAAAAGACCAGATATAAAGCAAGTTCTTATTCCGAACAATGCTTTCATTTTCATATAAAATTGAATATGTAGAAAATTCTCATAAAAGAATCAGTATGAGCAATAAAGATCTCAATCTCGATCACAAAATGAATGACTATCCTAGAAGGAATTTTCCAAGGCAAATAAAATACCGTGTTTGCTGAATTCATTTGTGTATTTGATGGCTGAAAAAAAAACGCTTGAATGCTTCTTTTTCCCTCTCAAGCTTTTAGTAAATACATTTCTCTTAACATGCACAACCCCCTCCTAGTTGCTCTGTCTTGTGGGATGAATTAACGGTGGGCTTCAAGTTCACATCAACCATGTCTTCCTGTTTCGTTGAAGAAAGAGTTTCCATCCCTGGTAAGGCAGCAGCAATCTTGGGGAATAGAGGCTGCAATTTTACATTCGTACGTAAATATGTAAAACTGGAAGTTACACAGATGTGCATAAATAAGGACAATACCAATGCATCTACATAAAAACATGATGTATCAAGTTCAAGCATGCCATAGGAACAATTTGAACATTGACAAGCAAAGAAATTGTCTTCAAACTGCTGTGACTCTTTAACAAATATGTATGGAAGACTTGGTAATACTTTTTTTTTTTTTTTCGGTTCAGGGGAGGGCATAACCCTTAGAAGGAGGAAATGGAGAAGAAGATTCTGACTCGAAATCAGGACCTCTATGTCCTCATAAAACCTCTTTAGCCACTAGACCAATAGGTGGAGGACAGACTAGGTGACACTTTGCTATACCTATCAGATAGTTGTTTTTGTCACCTTGATATTGAATCCTGCTTTTGCACTGGTTCTATAAACATGACTCCAAATTCACGAGCCTTGTTATCTCCTTCCTCTATAGAAACCTGCCTGTTTGACAACCAAACAGTATAAATGGAAACAACATTAAGAGGTACTAGTTTGATATAGATAAGACTGCTAAAAGAAATGATCTAAATGGTATATTATCAATGTGAACAAAGAAAAACACTGTTCTTGTTCATGAAAAGTTAAGCAACTCAATTTTGCTGGCTTTTTTTTTTCTCAGTTGAAAGCTTAAAACTTAGTCTATTAATGAGATTTTCACCTACAAAATTTGAATAAACCCAAGCAAAGAGGCTCATTACTAACCTTTTATCAACCAGATCAGTTTTGTTACCGACAAGGATAATAATGACATCACTGCCTCGTTCTGTGCGTACCTCCTCAATCCACTTTGAAGTGTTCAAAAATGATTGCCTATCTGCAAGGAGATAGCCAAGCAATGAATGTAAATAATTAAGGTTAACATGTATGCCTATATAATGATAATGGTTATCATGGGAGAGAGTGGTTTACGAGTATTATCATAAAGTCGATTAACAAAAGCTTTCCATTATAGTCTCTCATTTAATGAACTTAAAAAATAAAATAAAATAAAAGAGAGAGAAAAGTACTTGGGTTAGCTTATACTCACTAGCTACATCATAGGCGATTACTGCAACAGAAGAATCTCTGATGTAGCTAGGAATAAGACTCCTAAATCTCTCCTTCCCAGCAGTATCCCTGTGAAATTATAAGATTAAACTATAAGAGAGACAAGAAACATGGACAATTGAAGAGTATATACATCATAAAAACCAAGAAAATCGGATTAATTGGCATCTTATACTATTCTCAATTGCCAAACAGACTGCTGAGAAGTGTTCATTAGAAACTGACCCTATGGATAGTTTTCTTTAAGAGGATATAGTACATAACATAAACGAACTAGTTTCTATTTCCAAAAGTCGTCACATTTCCTAACTGCATGAAGAGGAAATGCATCAACAAGTAAAAATGGTTTCTTTTCTTCTCATTTCATGACCATCACGGATCAACCACCACTTTTAAATCTCCATCGCTGAAAATAAACCTTACAACAAAAGCAAGCTCTTTTTGGAACTAATTTGTAGTATAAAATATAAGCAATCAAAACCTTAAGTTCACAAGAAATATGCTTGATTGTTTGTTTCATTCAACCTATAATAACAATGACTCTAGAGACCATAAAATAAGTATTGAACGTAGTTATCCAAGATTTACATTGTTAAAGAGAGAGAAAGGAAAGGAAGAATTATATTGCCATAGCTGCAAACGAACGGTTCGATCTTCAAGATACATTGTTTTTGACAAAAAATCAATTCCAATGGTGGCCTGCAATTGATATATCAATAAATCATAAGCAAATTCTTTTTCAAAAAGCTCACAAATATTCAAGGAAAACATACATATAAACACTCAATTCACATATTCTACGATTTAGTGGAAGGAAAATTCAAATTCAATGAATTAAAATAATTATCATAAAGAAAAAAAAATCTAAACTAATAATAGAAATAAAATAAATAAATAAATAATTTTTTAAGCTATTACACAAATTGATCATAATACATTGTACGTAACAAATCAAGCATTTTTAAACTATCGCTGGAGACCAACAACCACAATAAAAAACGATTTCAAATCCGTGATTAAGAATTCCGATCAATAAATCGAATACGGAAACTAAATCAAATTCAAACATTGTATAAAACAGAGGAAATAAAGAAACGGTCAAAAGTTGGATGAATCTGCATGAATCAATGAAAAGTAACGTCGAATTGTTAAAAGAAATAGTGAAGAGTTTACCTGGTAAGTGGTGTCGAATTTATCGTACATGAAGCGGGTGATGATGCTGGTTTTTCCGACGGATTGATCGCCTAAGAACACCAGCTTGTATTTCGCCAGAGGTGACACGGTGGCCATTTCTCAATTTGTTCTCTATTCTTGTAAAACGAGAGTTTCAGATCTCAATCTCGAAAAAAAAAAAAAAAAGAACTGAAATCATTGTCACTATAATTATTGTTATTTAGATGAAAATAAAAAAGGAAAATTTGAAGGAAGAAATGAAAATGAAGGAGAGCTTTGAGTTTAATTCTTAGGGAGTAAGATGGAATCTAGATGTTGCATGGTATAAAATAAAAAAATTTATATATTTATATATTATTTTATATAAAAATTATATGTTAATTCGTATAAATATAAAAATATAAAATATACTTTTTATTTAATAAATTTATATATAAATTTTTTATATTATATTTATATCATATTTTTGTGTGTCAAAAATTTTGAACCGATTTTCTCTTTCCAATTATATACCTTCTTTTTCTTTCTTATTAGTATTTTTGGGTGTCATTTTTATAATTTTATTCATTGAACAGAAAAGATTTGGCCAATTTTATCAATTAAGGCAGGATTCAACCCAAACGACTTTAGGAAAAAACATGCATCATGTGCAAGCGAACACGCAGAGGCCAAGAATTCAAGTTTTGTTACGCTGCTTTTTCAAATGGAGAAAAGGGTCTCTAGCTCTGACCTCCATAGCCAAAAAGGAAAAATAAACACCTCGGAAATATTATTGGCTTTGCCGTCAGACATTAAGAAATGTGCTTCACATTCAACTTGAAGAAGTTTCTTGATCCAAGACATGGACTCACACTAGTATAATAAATGCTAGAAATAGTGTGTCTGCTTCCAGTAAGCCACACAATCATCAACATGGGATAATCAAGCGTTAAGTGGTTGAGAAATTGACAAATCATATCTAACATCCCTTCCCTTCCCTTCGATTATAACATCAACCTTGATTAATCTTCCATCTATTTCCCACAACAGTTTCTCTAATGAAAGAAAAAGCAAAGCATTGAAGTGAGCAGCCAACCAACCTACTTGACCCTCTGTCACTTCCAGCCACAGACTTGCTTCTCACATTTATTCAAACTGTACCTTGCTTTTGTTTCATATATTCTTCACCCACATAAACAGTAGAAGAAACTAGTAACACACCTGCAGGAAGAGCATTGCCATGAAGAAGTATCTTCAAATGGCTCATCCTCGAAGCCCCGGTGGGAGTGATGCCGATGGCACTGATCATCTATCTTATGATCAAAGCATCATAATTCCAAACATCGCAGCTGATAGCTTTGAAAGGAAACAACTCTCATGGTAAAACATGAACTCCTTTCTATTCAAACTCTCAAGCTTCTATCCAGCAAACTAGAATTGACAACATAATAGTTGCTTTGTAAATCAATAAAATGTTGAGAAACCCAAGCTATTTAACATTTGTTTCAATGTAATTTTCTGCAGCTCATGTTACCTTTTTCTTTTTGGGCGAGTTCATGTAGGTTTGCCACATCTCAAATCCCCACAGATTTAGCAGTCCAAGTTCAAGAAGTTATCTTTAATGTCCACAAGGTAACTTACAACAAAAAGAAGATTTTATGTAACATTCAATATAATCTATTGATCTGCATCACTATCAAGACTCCTGTTTTCTCATTTTCCTTTTCTGTTCTTAACCTTTCCTTAGCTAAACTAAAGTACAAAAAAGAACATAAATAGAGGAAAAAACAAAGGCAGCTGTAAAATGTTCAAAATCCCTCATGATGTGATATATACTATAGGTTTATACAGATGAAGCATTTGACTTCTCACCCTGCTTTATCTCTATTATCAGATCTCTAAGATACGTCCTAGAGAAGAAAATTCTGAATATTTTCCAGCAAGTTGGAAGATAAAAGAAGCCAGACCAGTTACTCTTTCAATTTACTCATGTCAATTAAACAATAATCTTAACAACTTGAAATTAATGTATAAAAGGATGAAGAGCAAACCTTGGTAACAAACTACTAGCTCTCTAATCTCTTTCTACTGAAACAGTATCCCTTGGTATCAAAAAGTGGCTACATTAGACAGCTGGAACTTCAGCCTTCGATCTCAAATTTTGGGCATGATCTCAAGCTTGAAAATTTTCCAGGTGGATCGGAAACATTTGAGATGATTCTAAAATTTTTTTATGGTCTCCCAGTAGACTTAAATCCCAATAATATAGCAGCATTAAGATGTGCATCCGAATATCTAGAGATGACAGAAGAATTTGAAGATGGAAATCTCATAGCCAAGACAGAAGCTTTTCTCACCTTTGTAGTCCTGGCTTCCTGGAAAGACACTATTACTGTCCTCAAATCTTGTGAAACCCTATCTCCATGGGCAGAAAACCTCCAGATTGTTAGAAGATGCTGTGACTCAATAGCTTATAAGGTTTCACGAAGGAACTCATCAACTGAAGATGTAAGAGAAGAAAGTTGGTGGTTTGGTGATGTGGCTACCCTTCACATTGATCATTTCATGAGGATTATGACAGCAATCAGAGCAAAAGGAACAAAAGCAGAGATCATAGGTAAATGCATAATGAATTATGCAGATAAGTTGCTGCCAGACATGGATGAGGGACTGGAAGGACTGAGAGGATATGGATTTGGAAAGAGTGAGTTGCAGTTCAGTATTTTGATAAAGAAGGAAGATGAGAGTGCTGGACAAAACAAAGAACAAAGAACAATTATTGAAAGCCTAGTAAGCATACTTCCTTCCCAGAATGGAGCAGTTTCATGTAAGTTCTTGATGCAGATGCTGAAAACAGCCATGGTGTATTCCGCATCACCAGCTCTGATATCAGATCTTGAAAGGAGAATAGGAATGATGCTGGAAGATGCCAATGTAAACGATCTACTGATCCCAAATTATAAAATTGAAGATCAGGGAATAATGCTAAAGTGAGTATTCTACCTCATTCGTAGATTATACAATTTAGCATGCTAATAAATGAAACTCTCCAGAAGAGAATTCTTTAATAACCAAGCAATTTGATTGCTTTATATTCCTACTCATATACCTTCTTCAACAGTACATCTGAGCAGCGAACAATGCACAACATAGAAGTGGTGCAAAGAATTTTGGACTATTTCTTGATCCATGAGCAACAACAACAACAGCAAAAAATAGGGAAAACAAATGTTAGTAAGCTATTGGACAATTACTTAGCCGAAATAGCAAAGGATCCAAATCTTTCCATCACAAAATTTCAAGTTCTTGCTGAATCCTTGCCACAAAATGCTCGATCATGTGATGATGGTCTCTATAGAGCCATTGACATCTATCTGAAGGTTACTTGTCAAGCCTCTTATGCTTTTTACATTATTTGTTGAATTTGATCTTCATATTTAATTCTTGATATCCTTTTCAGACTCATCCTTCATTATCTGAGCATGACCGGAGAAGATTGTGCAAAATAATGAACTGTGAAAAATTATCATTCGATGCATGCATGCATGCTGCACAAAATGACCGGTTGCCCCTAAGAACTGTTGTCCAGGTAACTAATTTCAGAACCTTATATTCAAAATTTTTCATTGCATCAGTATCTCCGATGAGTTACAAAAAATTTGTATTGTATCGGCTATCAAGCTTAATGAGTCAATTATTCAAGAGTCGAACAAAATTACCAATTCATGGTTTAAACTAAACCAAGAGTACCAGGTAATATCGCAACTTCAGGAACCTATTCTGGAGTTAGATTAGACTTTTTAGACCAGTAATCACAACAGCTTGCAATAAAAATATACCTAACATACCTGTGAAAGTATTCTTTAAAGCTATATATAAATAGCAAATCCACAAGTAAACAAGTGCAAGCATTTTATGGTTGTCATAACGCTAGTTAGTAGATCTTCATGTTACATGCTGGTAATGACCACTGTGATAAGTCATTGTTGTGGCATTCAGCAGAAATGTATAATATAGAGAGAGGTCGTCCGCATTAGGCACAGATCCATACCAACGATTTTTCATTGATAAGCATATCATATGGTAAAACTACCAAAAGAGCACCAAATATAAGTGCACATCTGTAGCAGGAAAAGCTGCAGCAAACTATCAGAGCACAACCTAAGAGATAAATCAACCACGGGACACTTAAAACCACAAAAATCTAACATATATATATATATATATATATATGTATGTATGTGTGTGTGTGTGTAGAAGGCAATCACATGGTCAAGAGAACAATTATGGACACCAAAAGGTAATTTTTTGATGTTTCCAAGAATTAAACTATCTAGTCATTCTGAAATAGCAGTTTATAGATTTCAAAGTAGAGAATTCAGACAAGAAATTAGAATTTATCTAAGATTACAGGCCTCTGATAATGTAATAGTGAAATAAAATGCCATCAGAATGAAGAGAAGGCATATCAGAAAAAGCTATTGACACTCTGATAATAGACAAAATCATCTCTGAGAGCTAATTAGTGTATGGTCCATCAATTTAATACATGCAGGTTTTATTTTCAGAACAAGCAAAGATGAGGATGGAAATGCATGGCAAGGAACCAGTAACAAGAGGAGATAATTCTGAACAAGAGGAGCACCGACCATCCACAAACACGGAGATAAAGAACCTCAAATCAGAACTAGAGAATGTAAAGACAAAGATGACAGAACTACAAAATGACTACTCTGAACTGCAACAAGAGTATGAAAAAATATGCAGCAAGCACAAAAATGCACTAGGTTGGAGTTTGAATTGGGGGAAGATTAAGAACTCTTTCCATGTGAAGGCAGAAAGTGATGACAATGGAGATGGACAGAAGAGACAAAATCCAGGTGTTTTCAGACTCAGCTTTAGACGTAGGCGATCAGTGTCATAAATTCATTAGCAGTAAGCATCTTGTAATGTCGAGGCTCAACCCAACCAATAGCTTCAACAGTATTATGTGAATTATTTTCCCATTTTTAACTAGTTTATTGCACAAGGTTTAGAGTGAGTGTTATCATAACACCAGATCTTATCTTAGCCTATAAAACATTTCTGCATCTCTCTCTTATAAATCAAAGATGCAAGGAACATGTTCATAATGGAAAGCGAACTGTGATCTCAATCATGTAAATCTCAATGGATCTGCATTTATTAGACCATAACAAATGTTCATAAAGGAAAGGATATGTGATCTCTATCATGCAAATATCGAAGGTTCTGCTGTTATTACCATAGTCTTTCTTACTAACACTTTATTACAGCGGTACATGAGGTAGACAACAACTTAGGACTTATAAACAAGCAGCTAGAAATGTGTCTCAACCGACACAGAAAACAAGAAGGAATTTGATTTTCAACGGAGGATTCAAAGACGTTGTTAGATCAACAATTATGCTAAACCCCGAAGCATGTTTATCAATTCCATTTTGGTTAAACAAGTACCTTAATACTTGACCCTTGCACAAAAACAACAACAACAACAACCAAACTATTAATTATATGCTCTATCAATCAAACAAAAACTAAATTAAAAAGATTCAAACAAAAAAATAATAAACCCATTTCATAATACTTAAATAGAATACATAATTAATAATTTTTCATCAATAATGTTAAGAAAAATACCTTCTACATGGTTACTCCAGTTTTCCATTCAAATCTTTATTTAAAAAAACTAAAAAACCCAAAAACCCTACCTATCTAATTAGCCCTCTTCATGCTGCTCCAAGGAAACTTCACCTCTCCACCGCTGCCGCCGCCACGACCCGAGACGTAAGAGCCCTTACCCTTCCCTTTCTCTGCTCCATCATCCCTCATCTTCCCGTCAAGCCAATGCTTCTTCTTTTCCCCTTCTTCCACAACGCTCTTACTTTTACTATTCTTATTAATACTTTCCTTTTCCTCTTGAATAACCTTAATAGGGAAAAGATTCTCGGATATGGAAAGCGGGGTTCTCAAAGTGACGTAAGCTTTCTTATAATCGGGTCTGGCGATTAACAAACCACCGCGTTTCTTCTTCTTTCCTTCCATGTTGAGAGTACGGACTTTTTCGACGTCGAAACCGTAGAGGGATTCAAGGACGCGTTTGATCTCGATCTTGGATGCCGATGGGATGGTTTTGAGCGCTATTTCTTTGATGTTGGTGAAGGTGTTTGGCATTAGTAGCTTGATTGGAAGGTTAGCGAAGCGGACAACTCGTCTTCCTAATCTACATCCCATTTTCTACTTTTTTTTTTGGGGCTGCTCTGGTTTTCTTTCTATGAGCTCGAACTCGAATATCTAAATGCAATGGAAGAGGGTTTTTGTGAGGCTTTTCCAATCCTAGTCGATCGCTCCGCTTTCTTTTGCCCGTTTCATATTGGGCTGGGCTAGAATTCTGTTAAGTATTACTGGGCCGTAAAAGGGACGTTCTGGAGTAAGCTTTACTGGTTTGAAACCGGGTAACTTGTTGGCAGAAAAAAAGACATAAAATAATCATTATTATCATATTAAATATTTTTATATTAAAAACTATTTTGTATTATATTTACAATTTTTTAATAAAAATTACAAGTTTCTCTTTTGAAGAAATATGTGCTATTAGTTTATTCTGATAACAAAATTTTTATACTTTTTTATCAAATATTTATTTTAAAATAAATTTTACCAGGCACAAATACCCTGAGCACTTTGGGTTAAAAAAACAAAAAAAACCTTACGCGAGAGTGGGCAACAGTATAGTAAATAAAAAAAAAATGATCTCTCTCAATTTATAATCAGTATTCCATGTACCAAAATAAATAAATAAAAGTCCAAATCCTTCTTTTGAAAGTAGAAAAATAATAATAATAATAATTGTCAAAGTTGTGAATTAACTTACGAAATGCATGGAACATGCATGCGAGATACCGCTCTGGTATAACTACAAAGTCAAAATCCTGTTTCTTTACTGCTATGTTCAGTGAAGCCACAATCAACTTACAATCATTTACTCTTCTCAACTCAGAGCATGATATAGAACATCTTAATTACTTCACAATTCACATGCATGATTATTTATTTTATAATTCAATAAATTTTGCACTGCTCCAAAAAGTCAGACTACATCAAAAACTGGTTCTTTTATTCCCACTTTCAGTCTCAATCAATACCCAACTCATATGTCCTGATATTCATGAAAGCAAGTATAATATGCCTTCTTCATTGCCTACACTAGTAGGTACAATTACATCCTAAAAATTTCCATTTACCTTCCCCTAAAACTTGGGAAAACAAATGGAAACTATAACAATTGAGGCCACACTGCGAAATCCCCTTACCTATCTGCAAATTATTAGGCTTCCTTCCTTTTGACTTGGTATGGATATTTCTGGTATATCGAAATGCTACCGATGACAAGTGGAAGAGCCACGAGACAATACACTGATGGTGGTTTTCCTTCAAAAAGGAACTGCAGCATGGCTGTTACAAGAAGTGCCGAAACAATGACAAACCCCTGCAAGCAATTGAGAAAATTTTGCTAGCATAAATATCCTTTAGACAATGATGTGGCATAAGAGATAAATTCAAACAATAAATGTTCATGACATTAAAGGACGAGTGAGTAATCCTTCAGCTTTAATGATCCCAAAAAATGATAATTTGAAATCTTTGCTCCTTAGTAGTAGATACATAGAAAAGGGGATAACTTTCAGCTCTGTCTCAGTGCCCTCACTTGCAGCAGAAGATCCAGGGCACTTACAGCCGATGACCCAGAGTGTCCACATATGAACTCGTGAAATCACTAATTAAGAAGTGATATCAATGGCTTTAAATTGAGTTTTTTTTACTCAATAATTTACAACATATGCAATTCAATAGCCGCCATGTCCACCTGCAGCCATTCAATAATCACTCTATCCTTCAATACTCCATGGTCCATCCCAAGTAGTCAACATATTTACTTCTATGTAGTTATGTTTACCTTTCTCACACCACCAGCAAGGCTAGTTACAAGGCCAACCAGAATCCCACCAAGTGCATTGGCTACAACTGGTATCTGAAAAAGAAAAAGGAAGACAATTGCGTTTAAACTTTAGCATGAAGGTATGATAGCAGTTAAAACATAAAAAAAAAAATTGCCAAAATAAACTTACAGGCATCCATTATAGAGACCTTAGGTATTTTTAACTTCCAAAACTTCCTCCCAGTCTTATTCTATCCTTTTCCGGCTTGAGCTAAACCTCAAGAGGAAAGTTTTCAATAAAATAGAAATGTTAGCAAAGTTAGTGGTGTCCTACCATAAAGAATCCATGGCGTCTGATAGCTTCTCCATCTGGAGACTTAGAGGTACCAGCCAGTAAGAACAATCAATGGAGTCTTATTCTATCCTTTTCTTGCTTGAGCTAAACCTATGAGCTTTCCCATTTTTCTATAGAGAAAATTTTCAATAAAATATGACTATTACCAAAGTTAGTGGAGTCCAACCATAAAAGAATCCATGGCGTCTGATAGCTTCTCCATCTGGAGACTTAGAGGTACTAGCCAGTAAGCACAAGCTTCCAACAATAGACATTTCTACAGTCATCAAGTATGATGAGTGCTTCTTGACCTGTAATAATGAAAGCATTAAGGAACAGAGAGAAAATTGGCAAGCATTTACAATTTGCATCTTGAAAATAGGAAACTAAGCCATTTCTCACCTGAGAAGCCCATTGACATAATGCAGAAGCTAGACCAGAGAGTACAGAAGCAACCAAGACCGGGACAATTCCATAAAATAGAATTTGCTCAGGATTACCACTGCTAGAACCTTTGCTAGAGCCTTCACCAATGCTTAGAAGAACAGCTGCCATGATCAACAAGAACAGAGCCCCAATTTGTTGAATTGACTGCTTTTGCCTATGTAGAAACACCACAAATCAAGCCAAATAAGCTCACAAACACCCCAAAATATCATTACTATTTCATCCACATTAATAAATGCATTAGAATGATGCTTCTCATGAATACAATACCATCTTTCAAAGAAGGAAACAATTATAAGAACTATCAGATTCAACCAAAATATATTATAGCTAATAACTGCGTCATTTGCAAACTGGTGAGCTATAAGTTCAGAGCAGCACAAAATAGTGAGAAAATATATAAACATGAACATAGTTTCTATCTTCCATAGGAACCAGTTGCTCTTTACTAAATTCTCCAAACTAAAAGGAGATAATATCATCTAAGCAGCTTCTTTTATAGGACAACCCCCGAAGGAGATGAATAAAAGACAAAGTGGACATCAGAAAGATACCTTAATATGATATACGTAAACAAGGCAGTGAAAAAAATTTTTGTCTGGTTCAGCATTGAGAATGTAAGTGAATCAAGATTCCTATAAGATATCTGCAACAAACTGTTTTGAAGTGCATAAATTGCTGCAGGAAGACCTGATGCAGTCAGTGAACCCACCAAAGTCCATTCCTTTGCCAGTTTTTTTAAGCTACCGTCTTTGGCCATGAGAATAAGAGCGCATACGACCTATTAAGCATATTCAAATGCAAAAGATCTTAGAAATCATAAGCTTAAATGCGAAAAGAACCAGAAATATAGGAAAATATATCATTGGTAAAACTACCTTGGCTATCTCACATGTCAAGACTGATGAAGTTACAATTACTTCTCGTCTGTAGAACAAAAAAAAACAAAAAAGGTTATCATGAGTTAAAACCGATTTGACGATTGTGTATTCGTATCGTGTAAATATTGAAATTTGTATCACCGTGTATTCCTGTCGTGTCGTATCATCGTTGTTGTGTTTTAAATTGCCAAGTATAGTTAAAAGCTTGAAAAATTTTTCAAACATACTCGGATTGTTCAGAGTGACGGGAAGACACATAAAAACGAAGAACATAGGTGTGTTGTTCGATCCATATACATGTGTGCAAGTGCACGCGTGTGTTCATGTGAGCCATCCATCATTATGAACCTGAAATTACATCCTAGCATTGCAAGCCAAATGTGAATAATTTAACCCTAGATTTCCAAATGATCACTCAAAAACCAAATTAAATCAAATCCAACATGTGATTAATTACAAGCCAAATCAAAAGCACGGAATTTGAGTAAATAGAAACTAATTAATTAAAATTTTGGGATGAAATTAGTTTTACCTGGTGAAGCGTTTGGAGATAAGAGGTTGCGCTCCGTATTGAAGAGTGAGCAAACTGGAGTAAAGCCAAACGCATGGACTCATTTTCCCTGCGTTCGGAGTAGCAGCTCTGGGCGTTTTCGTCGCCATTATTGGCGACCTTCACGAAGAAATTCTTGCTCACCGTCGCAACGTCGTTGTTCGCCTAGCTAGTCTGTACTTTCGCCGGCGGATAAAGTGGAATCAGAAGAATGATTCTATTCTTTTTCCCTGTCGCAAGAAAGAAAACTCGCCTTCGGAGCTTGTAAAACGACGTTGTTTTCTTTCGGTTTAATCCGGGCCCAAAGAAATACGGGAACTAATCAAGTAAAGATATTATAGTATTATCGGAGCATAAAAAAAACGTGGAGTGTAGCCGTTAGGCGTAATAGCTTAGCTCGTCATGATAGGGCTCTTTGAAACGCCGGCCAGTACGGCACAATTTTTTTGCCTTTAGAGCACTTCAATTCTGCATTCTTAGCACTAGAAAGGGGGAACCCCCGATTATCATGATTTCTAGGGCCTAGGTTCTAGGTAAGGGATTAGGTAAGGCTGGCTAAGTTTAGGTTAAGTCGCGAAGAATTTTAATTTAAAATAAAATCAGAGATATAATATGAACATCGTATAACAAATATAAAAATAATATAATTTAAAATTTTAATAATTATTATTTATAAATTTAATAAAATAAAAAAATATTTTTATATTTTTATTTATATTAATTATAATATAATTTTTATATAAAATAAAATATAAATATATAAATTTTAATATTTTATATCACATAAATACATAAATTTTTATATTTAAATCCATATCCCATATAGTGTTGCTTTTTGTGGTCTAAAAAGAAAGTATATTAATTTTTATAGTTTATTGAACAAAATCCTTCACATTCTATTTTAATTTTCAACAAAAAGCAAGTTACATACTTAAAATTAAGGTGTACCAATTTTATGATGCGTTTGAGTAATGAAACTTTATAAATACTTATCAAGGATTATTTAATTATTATTTTAGGAAAGGTTTATTTTATTTGATTATATTTTTTATTTGAGAAATTTTAATCAATGTTTAATGACATAACTTGAAATAATATTTAATGACATAACTTAAAATAATATTTGAGTAGAGAATTACTTAATTAATGTATTGTATTCCTTTAAATTTAGTGAAAATAATACTTTAAATACAAAAAAAATCTTTAAATAGGATTTTATCTATCCTTAAATAGAGTCAATAAGAACCTATTAATCTAAACCTTTATGTTTTTAGAAAATTTTTATGTTATTTATTTTTAATTTTTAAAAATTTATTTAGATGAATGATAAAATTAAAAACAATAATAAAGGTAAAATTATATATTTTAATGACAAAATTTTATATTACAATGATAATTAAAATCAACAATGAAGTTATACATTTTGATTCGATCACAATAATAATAGTTAAATTAAATATGACATTCAATTACCATTGGTGGCAGAAATGCTGTCTTCATTCTGAAAATTGAAGTATCAATGATTTAAGAACAATGATAACCTAAATTACTTATCCTCTCAATGATGATTTTTTTTTTTTTGATTTTGAACTCTTTCTTTGACAAGTAAAATTCGCTTGAAACAAAGAAAAACCATAATTAAAAAATATTTTATATTTTAATTTTATATTAAGACAATCTATCAACATTTTAAAATGTAGTGAACAATTAACTCTTTCTCCTCTTTCTCATCTTTCTCCTCCAATCAAAACTTTGAGGGACAACGTAATTAAAAGCTCTCAACTAGCGCTACTTCTATGCACCTCACAATGCAATTAAAAGTAAAAAAATTAATTAGATTCCATGCGATACAACCAAACAAAGTAAAATAAATATTTATTTTAAATCCAAATTTTTTTTAATTTAAATGACATATATAAACTACAAAGTTTTAGAGAAAGTAATACCAAAAAATTAATACATGCGTTTGAATTGAATGAATTTACATGTTTGACCCTAAAGGTATATTTGTAACAACTTCTTATTAATAAACACATTAGTAAAAGTTCGTAAAATATTTTAGGATGGGACTCTTACGGGAGTATCAGAATTTTTAATGTCAAGATTTAATTTAAAATTAATTAGTTGTAAGTGAATAAGTCTAATTTAAATATAATATTATAAAAAATTAAATATTTGTTAGATATAAGATAATTTATTTTAATAAAATTTTATAAAAAAATAAAAATAATTTCACATGATAGATTTTAAAAATAATAAAAAAATTTTAATTTTAGTTTTTTATTATAAATATAAAATTTAACATCAATTGATAATAAATAAAAAAATATAACTTAAATATAAAAATATAAAATATTAGATATTTATTAATTATAAAATAACACTTAACTAACATTTAATACTAGATAAAAAATAAGTTTTTTTTTCCCCTCAAAATAAAGATTCCTTTTGCGGGAATAAAGCAATGAACCGGCTCTCGGGTGGTGTAGCATACATTGCAACTTCCAAGAGACTCACTTGAAGAATCGAATGGTGGTGATGTGAGGTTCACAAATAGAAAGATTCCACGTAACAACTGAAAATTCATAGGGTAAAAGATCCAAGATCCCAAACCAGTGACCCCACCATTGGGAATCTCTTACAAGGGTAAAAAATTCCTCAAATTTCCAAAACCCTAATAAAGAATATAAATGTGAACACTCTTTAGATTTGTTAACCGGCAGAAAACAAGGGAAAAGCTAGTCAAAATCAACGGCTGTGATTGAAGGACGCCGTATTATTTAAATTACAAAACCCACCAGCATTTTCATACTGATTCTTCTTAGCAGCCTCCACCCCTAATTTCGAAAACCCAGGCAGCAACAAACGCCAGCCATGTGTGGAATACTTGCAGTCTTTGGCTGCGTTGACAACTCTCAAGCTAAACGCTCCCGTATCATCGAACTGTCTCGAAGGTGATTTTGAGATTTAGTTTTATCAAATTTTTTTAAAAAAATTTCTTATAGGTGAAAGAGATTGTTGATTGTGATTGCAATGGAGAGTGTAGATTGAGGCATAGAGGTCCTGATTGGAGTGGACTACATTGCCATGAAGATTGTTACCTTGCTCATCAGCGTTTAGCCATCGTAGATCCGACTTCAGGCGATCAGCCCCTTTATAACGAGGACAAGACTGTTATTGTCACGGTATACTTTCTTTTCTTTCTTATTTTAAAGTCCATCTGCAAACGTAAAACAGGACACGACGACAGGACATGAATACGGTGACGACAGGGTTAAAATTTTAGTCATAATTATATATGGAGTTTAAGCAAATAAAAGAAATATTTTATATTTTTGAATCAATATAATTATAAATTACGACGTTAAATTTTAATATAAAATATAATATAAATACATAAATTTTAATATTTTATATGATATCTATAACTATCCTTAACGTGATGATTACCACTTTCCTATGTTACTATAACTTATTGTTGCCACTTTCAGGTAGAATCCAATGCTTGATTTTACTTTCATGTTGGATTGATGATTATAGGTTAATGGAGAGATATATAACCATAAACAATTGAGAGAAAAGCTGAAGTCCCATCAGTTCAGAACTGGAAGTGACTGTGAAGTGATTGCTCATCTTGTAAGTATTTGAGAGGTTGGGCGTAAAATTCAGTTATTCACAACATTTTCTTTTCTTGTGTTTTTTTTCACATCTCATAGTGTCAGTTTACTTAATAGTATCCTCAGTACCAATTTGGCTACTTATTTTTGTCAGTATGAAGAATATGGTGAAGATTTTGTGGACATGCTGGATGGCATGTTCTCGTTTGTCCTTCTCGACACTCGTGACAAAAGTTTCATTGCTGCTCGAGATGCTATTGGAATTACCCCACTTTATATTGGATGGGGCCTTGATGGTATTCAGTTTTCCCTTTCTTGTAGACACTAGCCATTATGTCTTTGGCTGTAGTTTACTTTGTCAGTGTCATTATGGACTTAAAAGAAGTTTCGTTTTCTCTGCTCTATTGTGTCAAAATCCAAGCAAGTTTTCTAGTAGTGGTTTTATTCAGATGTATAATATATAGCAAAAATCTAGTTAGTTATGAGGCTAATTAGGTTGTTGTTTTGCGAACCTTGTCTTGGCTCCAATGGTTGACCCACCTTCTTAGGGATTGGCAGACGCATAGATTATGGTTCAACCACCAACTTCTTCCAAAAGGCCAGCGGTTTATCCCCTTAAAAGTTTGCAGAAAAAGAAATTGTCTTTCCTAAAGAATATCTAAGAAATCTTTTTCCTTGCCCTTTGATTGTTTTTTTTTTATGAAAGCTTGATGTCGGTCTTAGTTGAGAAACATACAAATATAAAACTAGCTTGTGGTGCCTCATGTATTCAAGTTTGGATGGATTTGATGCTTTGGGCTTAGCTTTTTGCTCGTGCTTGATTAATAGTTTTCCGTATCAAATTCTGGTTTTTATTCACCCCCTCCTCCTTGTTATGGATGCATAGTTCTAACTAAATGCAATTTACTTTGCAGGTTCTGTATGGTTTGCTTCTGAGATGAAAGCTTTGAGCGATGATTGTGAACGATTTATGTCTTTCCTTCCAGGGCATATATATTCGAGCAAGCAAGGTCCTTTTTTTTTCTTTGGATATTTGAGTTCCTAACATGCTTAAGAATTGATCATAGAACTTCTGAAGGAGAATCTAGAATTTGTATGGTAGATGATATGAAATTTATAAATTCACCTTTGTTTGTCAGTGTTGCATGCAATGGCCTTTATTTGTTGCATTTCAAAATGTCTGCAGGAGGGATTAGAAGATGGTATAACCCCCCATGGTTTTCGGAAGAGATACCTTCAAATCCATATGATCCCAGAGTTCTAAGGGAGGCTTTTGAGAAGGCATGCTTTAGACCTTCACCTTCTATTCTTGTTTTGATCTTATTGGTTTGCTGTTAGCACTTTGGAATTGATGTCATTATATGTCTCTCAGTTTGCCAAAAAATGGGTGGAAAATATAATGCATACTTGAAACTACTTTGTGAATAAGCAGTATTGGCTAGGTAGTCACCATGGCATTACTGCGTGTACTCTCATGCTACTGCTGTAAAGAATTGTTCAGAATATTATAGGAGAACCAATAGAGGTTGAAGTCTTTGAGTCCATGTAATTAGCGGCCCCCCCTCCCCCTAATTGGCTAGGGTCAGCGTAGTTTCTGGGATCTGCTTGCTTGCTATGTTTCTTTTCTTGTGACCACCTTTTCATTAGGAAATTAACATTACAAGAGAACAGCAGCAAAGCTCAGTTTAGGGGTTTCTGAGTTTTTTTTGTTAATTTAATATACCCTTAGTGTTTAGGACATTTCCCACCTACCTTAGGTCTTAAGATTAGGTCTTAAGATTTCGGCTTGACCTCTACTATAGAATTGGAAGCTTTGATGCTAACTGTATGGCTCTTTCTGTAATTCTGTTTTCTTCTTTTCTAATAGTTCTTTGTCTATCTGTCTATTTTCTGATACCAGCCTGTTTAGCCATGAATGACTCAAATAAAAAGAAATTGTTAACCAAAATATTTTAAGATTCTTATTATTTGTTAAAGGATTTTTATTGTTTTGGTAGATCAGTTTTCTGAATACTTGAAGAGTCATGTATGACTTTAGAATTTGTTATTATTCCCATGACTTTAAATTAATAAATGTTGGTATTACTTCTGTGCTATGCCATTTATGTTTCACCACTTACCTTTCCTTGTGAATTTATTTTATATAGGCTGTGCTTAAGAGGCTCATGACAGATGTCCCGTTTGGAGTGCTTTTATCTGGAGGGCTGGACTCATCACTTGTTGCTGCTGTAGCTTCCCGTCACCTAGCCAATTCAGAAGTTGCTTGCCAGTGGGGGTCACAGTTACATACCTTCTGCATTGGTTTGAAGGTCTTAATACTCACTTTCATGTGGCACAGCTATAGATTCCATGTCCTCTTACTATATTGGTTTTCTTTCTCCCTGGTCATTACTTAATGTGTAAAAGATATGGCTGTTGATTACATATGTTTGTTGTTACCTTAAACACTATGGTTGTTCAGAGCGAGTAACCGATAGATAAAACAAATTCTATGACATTCAGTGAAGAATGCTGTACACTTGCATTATAAACTGCTGCTACTATTAATATGTAAATAGTCTATGCAAAATATCTACATCCTGTCTCAATCTAGCTGTTAGGATAATTTCTGCAACATCAAATAACACACCATCTTGATCTTAGTTTTGAAATATAACTTGAGTTTACTGCTTTATTTATAATATTTCTGACATTTTATTATTCAGGGTTCTCCTGATCTTAAAGCTGCAAGAGAGGTAGCAGATTATATTGGAACTCGTCACCATGAGTTTCATTTCACTGTCCAGGTAATTTCCTGCTTTATTTATAAAAGAAGTATAGCGGAATATGTTCTTTTGATTTTTTATGATTAAGTTTCTTTCTCCCATTTTGAACTATCAGGAAGGGATAGATGCTCTGGAGGAAGTTATCTACCACATTGAAACATATGATGTGACGACTGTTAGAGCCAGCACCCCCATGTTTCTTATGTCAAGAAAAATAAAATCTTTGGGAGTGAAAATGGTTCTTTCGGGAGAAGGTTCCGATGAAATCTTTGGAGGTTACTTGTATTTCCATAAAGCACCTAACAAAGAGGAGTTTCATGAAGAAACTTGTCGAAAGGTATTCCAGATGACCATTACTTTTTTGTTTTCCTAGATTTTAGTAAATAAACTGGAGGAATCCATATATTAGGCTTGGTTATCTGAGTACCTGTTGTATATTGTTTGCTTTATGATGGTGTTCTAATAATTCAACAGATCAAAGCTCTACATCTTTATGATTGCTTGAGAGCAAATAAATCAACTTCTGCATGGGGACTTGAGGCTCGTGTACCCTTTTTAGATAAAGAGTTCATCAACATTGCAATGAGTATAGATCCTGAGTGGAAAATGGTATGATACTTCTAGATTTGTTATTTACGTTACATCATTTAGTTTAACTGTTGAGAAAAGGGATGTTGTGTCCTTTTATACTGGAATCAATTAGACAAAAGCATTACTGCCATCACATGAGAAAGTACTGAACGCATAGAGGTTGTTTTCCATCTTAGCTTTTATTGTTTATTGCTTTATGTCTGGCTTTTCCTGCAAGGTATCATTCCTGGTTTCACTTGTCCATTTGTGGGGATAGCATTTCACATTCTAACCCCATGTTTGGATTGAGGGGAAGGGAAGGAAAGGAAAGGAAAATAAAGGAAAGTAATGGAAACAAAAAACCCCATCCTTTTTTTGAATAAATTTTTAATTTAAAGGAAAGGAAAGAGGTGGAAACTCAATAACCTTTGGTTTCCCTTGTAATGCTCATTTTTTTTAATCCCCAATTTGGGGGAGAAGCTAACGAAAAGAAAGTTGAAAAAAATCTTATTTTTATAAAAAGACTATTATATTCATATTTTTATTATAACATTAGATTTGATTATATAACTGATACTTCTTACAAAAATAATTTTTTTATGAGTATTTTATATAACATCACAGTTTATAAATATTTTATAATTTTTCAAGTCTTAACAACAAAACAAGCCAAATTATTGTTAGAATAAATTAAAAAGTTGAATTAAAAACAAAATTAAAAGTAAATCAATAACTAGCTAACACATCTTACCATATTAAACATGCTCAATTTTGTTTAAAAAGATTTGTTTATACTAATTAGGTAATATAAAGATATATTTGTATATTATATATTATTTTATAAAAAAGGTCATAATTGAAAAAAATATTATAATGAATTATTTCTTTTCCTTTTCACTATTTATCCAAACAATGGTTGTTAGAATTCCATTCCTTTCCTTTCCTTTATTAATTCTAACTATGCAAACAAGAGGTACATGTACCATTTTCTTTCCTTTAAAAAACTTTCCTCTCCTTTCCTTTCCTTTATTTATCTATATCCAAACGTAGCGTAAGTGTGATGTCACTTTCCACTCTTAGATGCAATATATATATTTATATTTATATTCTAGCTTTTGGTGCTTCCATCTGGTATGTAAGGTGGTAATTGGTTTTCTAGGTTCTTTTATTCGATAAGGAGCTGATGCAGATGATATGGGGTGTCAGTTACTTGATCAATAGTAGTTACTATCTCATGTTGGTCAAAGGAGGAGTTATAAAATTTAGTTAGATATTTACACCTTTTTTTTCTGTAATGGAATGTAAGCTTATGGTTATTGCCTTTCTGCAGATAAGGCCTGATCTTGGAAGGATTGAGAAGTGGGTCTTACGTAATGCATTTGATGATGATCAGAAGCCATATCTGCCTAAGGTTGGTATATCTTCTTTTGAAACATTCCTGCCTTCTAGAAAGTTTACTGGGGCTTTATCATTTTATATGGTCCTGTTTTCTTTGATTATATTTCTTCAGTGTAATGTTTCAAGAAGAGTTATGATGGGAAATTTCCTGGAAAAAGTTCTTGTTCTTGAAACTGCTTGTTCCCTCTCTGTTTCAGCACATTTTGTACAGGCAGAAGGAGCAGTTCAGTGATGGAGTTGGGTACAGTTGGATTGATGGTTTGAAGGACCATGCCCACAAGCAGGTAGGCTTATTTGTTTGTAGTTCTTCTGGGAGACATTTTCCAATTGGCTTTATAGTAACAATCTATTGTTTCTGAACTTGACAGGTCACTGATGCAATGTTGATGAATGCGAACTTTATCTACCCTGAGAATACTCCAACCACAAAAGAGGGATACTATTACAGAACTATCTTTGAGAAGTTCTTTCCAAAGGTATTATGTTGTTAACCTCTCTATTTTTCCATCTGTTTCTTTTCGGTGTCTAGATTTTGTTGAGGGGTATAGAACATGTTACAGATTTGGTTTTCCTCCATGTCCAATTTCATTTTTTGAAAGGAAAGCAAAATGAACTGAAAACTACGTTTCTGGATAACTATGGGTGGGATGCTCACCAGGTTATTGTAGTTTTCCACTATTAGGAGGTAACATCATTTTTCTACTTGCCCCCAATTGGTAGGCTTGGGACATTCCCAAATTTTTAGGGGACAGTTAGGAGTGTTTTGGTCTCAACTGTCAACAGTCAACATGATTAACCTTATGTCCCTCAAGTTCCCAACACCTGTGTACATGAAGGAGAATGGAATTCTTGGCTAACAATGATGTAAAAAAAGGCCTAGATATTGTGAGATTATTTAACGGGTATGTGAGACTAATCAGACTAAACAAGGGTAAAAGATGCTCTATATGATTATAAGAAATTCTCCAAGATTCTTGAACCAAATACTATTCTGGTATAATTTTTTATCATGTCTGTTCCATTTTTGCTCAGTTATCTTGATATTGCTAATTAATCTTTCCAATTGCAAGCAGAATGCTGCAAGGTCTACTGTTCCAGGCGGTCCAAGTGTGGCATGCAGTACTGCTAAAGCAGTGGAATGGGATGCAGCATGGTCAAAAAATCCTGACCCCTCTGGTCGTGCTGCTCTCGGTGTTCATGCCTCTGCTTATGAGGAAGCAGCAGATGTCAGTTGCACTGATCTGATCAATGGTTCTCCCCAGAAGATACAAAAAGGAATTGTGGAGAAGACTGCGACAGTTTGTGTGAGGCAATTTTAGCATCTTTATTTGACTCGACAGCTCTGACTAGTAGACCAAGTTCATTGCTCGAGTGATAAGGTAATTATTTCGTTATTGAAGTGCTCCAGAGTCATCATATCAATCCAATTGTTGGAAGCTGCTTTGTTTAGGCTATGTTGAGTTGTTTATCGTGCACTAGAACTAGCTTCTTTCTTCTTGTTCTGGTTTTCTTATGCATGTTTTAATGACTAAAAAGTTGTGTAATGTTGTTTCCTAGTGTCAATTTATTTATAATCTTTTGTTCCACCCACAGCCTGAAAGACAAACAAAAAGAGAAAAGGTTGGATGTTTCCAACATTCCATCTTTGAATTTTCTTCCGAGTTGCATAACATAGTTCTTTATTAGAAACCTTGCTTATCAAAACCTTCTCTTCCTTTCTCTTTTCCCACTCTGAAAATTCAAAGTGAGCAATGTAATCGGTAAGAACTGATCGACTAATTTTGCTGAAATACATTATCACTAACATTTAGCCACAATTCAGCATGTGCCAGAAACTACATAGTATATGATGCATAAGCACTTGTTGTATATACAAGGTTGGGAAAGTATTTACAAGTACTAGAAAACAGCAGTGATTTATGATTTCCAGTTAAGTAAATCAGCACACACCAAAAGATGATTGTACCAAACGAAAACCATCAGAACCACCTTGAAGGATATTTTAGTTTTTACCACCGGCAAATTCCAGGCACCTCTGTTCTGCTTAAAGCAAGTATTTCCTCATATTTTGATCCATATACAAAGCCCCACAACTGCAATTCAAGGATAAAGTTAACGAACTTGTACTATTAAGATTACACCTTGTGGTCATATTGCAAACAAGCCAAACATGAATTCATGAAGCGAAGGAACAGTGACATGGGTGAGAAATGGAGTAACAGAGAGAGAAGGGCATCGGATGCATACCTCAATCTCCTTCACTTCAAAGTCTTCAGAAAATGCAAGACAGGGGTTACCATACGTTTCTGAGAATGAGCTAGATCCATTCAACCTTACATAAAAATTTGGATATATCAGAAAGTAATGTTTCATTGACAAACGTGCCAGCATCAAACTTATCTCTTAAAAAAGGAGATCGTTAACACAAGAATTCTATTTAAAAGGAAGGACAAAGAGAAGGGAGATTGGGGAAAAGGGGCGGGGGGGGGGGGGGAGTTAGATACTTTTATATAAAAGAACCAGAGAGGGACAGATATCTCACAGATCACCATCTAGATAGAGAGCAAAATGGCCACCACCACCGATTGCCAGAAATTCAGTGGAACACAGAGTGAAATATCGATTTGCACCTGTTCCATATTTGCAGTTAGATCTACCAAGTTTACTCAGAGGGAAACTGTTTTAATTACCAAAGAAAGAAGGAAAAGCGAGTCATTAGTCCAAGCCCCTTGCAAACTAGGTCAATCATGCATTAGTGCTATATGTCATTTAAGCTGTCAATGGACTATGTTCTGACACATACACACGAGATCCTTATTGGATGGAAACTTTTTCAGCACCACATGCTCCGACGTTTAAACAGCCAGGAATCAACATACTGTGACAGTTTTGAAAGGGTAGGGAAAGATTTGAATACCTGTGGGATGGAATACAACTGGGTCACCGGGTCTATTTGTGAAAACAAAGGTACTATTTGTTCCCTGTTCAAAATTTAATGTCAACAAGATATGTATAAGAAATGCCCGCTTGATACAAGAAGTATTTTCTAGCACTACCTGGTATTTCTTATTGGTTGGTTTTAGGGGTGCCTCAATCAGACCGCCAAACACTGCACCTTTACGGTCTCCAACAACCTAAGAGAAAATAAATGCCATGAGCCCATGACCTCAGCGGAATGGCTTCATCGTAGACAGAAAATAAGCATGCCTACATGGATGCTAACATGAAGAAATAGTAGTGCAGCCAAATCATTAATATGAACAATTATCACACAATTTGAAATAAGAATAGCTTAATCTTCAAGTGAAAAATTCAATAATTTCCTATTCTCAAGGTGACATGGCTCAGATTGATGCCCAAGCACTGTTTATTTAAACATAAAGTAAAAAAGGAAGGATAAAAACCAAAACTGAGAAAATTCCAGAGATTATAATTGTTTTAGGTAGCAACAAATAGAATATGAATTGGAAAAGGACCCATGGATGTAGCCACACAGGACAACCTTCTGATATGATAGAATAAGTTTATGGAGAATAAATAAATTCATAAAGTTAAAGGTACAGACATGTCCCCAGAAGACCAATATCCTGCATTTGACCATGGGAATGACATTCCTGCTCAGTGTTATGTAAATGTTTGTTTCATATTTATAACAGTATCGCTGCATTGAAGACATGTGAAATATAATATAAAATCAAAGAACAAAAAAGTAATATCCAGGAGAAAGTCATTTAACCATTACCAGCAAACTGAGGCCAGGCCAGAGCATGCTTCTCCTGTACAATGTTGACAGTGATATGCCATGCCTCCATGTACTTTGAAGGCCAACAGAGATATATCAATGAAAGAACAATAATTGTTTCTCAATATAAGCAAAACTACATATCCACAAAAAGACCAAATTCAATCCATCAAACCGAGAAACAAAGGTATTCACCTGTAGAGCAATAACCACTTCCTCCCTTGAACAAGAGCTGGAAGTGATGCATAAAGGGCACTTCTTGTTTTCTCCGAAAGAAGCAATGATGGTTCAGAAGTTTCTGGAAGATCTCCTAAAGCCAAAGGCTCCTTAACATTTTGCATATGTCTCATCTCAAGTCCATCAAATTTAGCATCACCCTCATCATCACTTTTCATGTCAGAATCATCCTTGGTGTCTTGATTTTTGTATCCACTGATCCTAGTAGCTTGGTAAAGAGCTCTAAGTGATTGCTTACCCCTAGAAAATAAGCTTTTCCTTCTACCATTCTCTTTCATTATGGTGTCAGATGCATCACCAGTTTCCTCTTGATTATCATTTTGCTGATCTAGATTCAAATTGTGACCTGATTCCGAAGAAGACAACAGTGAATAGAGGAATGCTGTGAAAGAAGACGTATCAGGGCCATTAACTAGATCCCCATCATCCTCTTTGCCGATTGACTCTGTCTCTGGTTGACTTCTTTTTGACTCGCTCGCATTTTCCTACCAGAAAGAAAGACTATACTGTTAAAACTTAAACACTGATTGCAGGCTCTCAACATAGTAAATTAATGATACTTCAAAACACATTAACTAGACAGTAGTCATACGCCTCTTTTGACAAGGTTGAGATTCGTAAGCAAGTTCTTTTATTGCAGAAAATTTTCAAATCACAATACAATAAAGCCTGCACTTTTAAACCATACCTGAATTTCTGGCAAAGAATTTCAACAATCAGTTCAACAATTCTAATTCCAAGAAAGGATTAACAAGACAAAAAAGGAAAAAGAAACAAAGATGCAACCTTGCAAAACCCAATCAAATACCTTCAAAACATGAAAAATCAAAAAATCAAAAGTGCAAAACTAACCTAAATCTCAACTGCCTACAATCAAACTGTACTTGGAATGTTGACCAAACATTAGAACAAAGGCAAACATCGTCGTCATCATCATGATCATGATCATCATCATCATAAAGATTCATAACCTTAAAACAAAGGGAAAAAAGAAGCCTTTTCAAAGTGAAAGCAGTAAAAAGAGAGAAACTTACAGGAGGAGGGTGGGGAGGCGTGGAGGGTTTATCAGAAATGGGGTTAAGAAGGACAGTGGTAAGATCTGTTACAAAGTGAACGGCTTTGCTCCTCAAAGACTTTTTCTTTCCCATTTCCTTCCTTTTATTATCCAATCCAATATACAGAAGACGATATTTTTACACCACAAGTTCCCACCTTTTTTGTCGATTGGAGTGGTGTCTGATTCTATATTCCATTCATATTCTCAAGAAACACCTTTTTTTTTTGTTGGCTTATACCAGATTGACCCAAACACCAAATTCAGCTACAAAACCACGATAAGTGATATAATAATATCATAGCTATCTGTATAGAGAAATCATATTACCCAGTTTTCTTTCTCTCTCTTTATGGTAGTCAGATCAAAGGAAAGAGAAAAAGTATGTTTAAAGTAACTCGCTTAATACCTAATCTGGTACATTTCGGGACTCCGATTCCTTCAGTTAACAGTAGACAAGGATTGTTTTGCTTCAAACAAATAAAAAGACTCCATGGCCCAATGGATAAGGCGCTGGTCTACGGAACCAGAGATTCTGGGTTCGATCCCCAGTGGAGTCGATTTCTTCCACCACACTTAGTTTTTTTTTTTTTTCCTTTGATCTCCTTTTCAGGAATACTTTGAAAATAGAATATCCATTATGAGATAAGATAACAATGAAATTTTTTACTATTTGAGAATAATGGTATCAACAAGTAATTTTGGCATTTTTAAATGTAATGCAAATGTCAACGCTTGAGTCTTTTTTTTTTTTTTTTATGTGAAACGTGGTAAGAACTCAACTAACAAAAAAAGCGAAGCAGAGGGAAAGCCACTCTAGCAGTATCAACAATGAGAATCTCCATTTGGTCATCCAATCAGCAGCATTCAAATCAACGGTTTGAGTTTATGTAATTCAATCAGCTGAACCACCATGCAATTAGCATATAATTATATAAACAATTTTGCACCTGCACATTTGAGTTTTGATGATTCAAGTATAAGCATACCAAAAACAAGTATTACTATCTAAAGCTTTTCATTTTTTCCCAAAACTATTGACAGACTTGAAATAAAAACAGGCATATAAATAGTGTTTTAGAGTGGGCTTAACCTCACTTCTTCAAACTCCGAAGCCCATTTACTGAGATGCATTCCAGAAAGTGCCTGACAAGAAATGATTTTTATAGAGATTCGAGTGCATAAACTTTACTCTTCCCTCTGTTCTTCCCCAAATCAGAAGCTCACTTCATTCTCCTAGAGCTCCGTTCTACCAGTTAACCCACCAGAAACATGTCAATTGTCCCAATCAATGGCCAACAAGGCACGGTGAGCAATCCTTCTTCTCTAGATTTATGGGATCCATTCAACAACTTTGATCCTTGGAACCCTTTCACTGATGGTTTCCCTTTCACTTTCCCTTCATTTCTTTCTACCCCTTTCGCTGGTTTCACCAGTGAAATTTTCCCTTCCCTTGCGACTCAAGTCAACTGGCGAGAAACCCCAAGAGCACATGTGTTCAAAGCTTACCTTCCAGGGGTCACCAGGGATGAAGTCATAGTTTTCATTGATGATGACAGAATGCTCCAGATAAGCACTGAAAATGGTAACTTCATGAGCAGGTTCAAGTTGCCTGAGAATGCAAGGACTGAACAAATTCAGGGTTTTATGGAAAATGGAATGCTTATTGTCACTATTGGGAAAGAAGCCCAGGCTACAGAGAGGCCAAATGTTAGGGTCGTTGAAATCACTGAATAATGTTACTTTTGCATGTTGTTTTTGTGCCTAATTATGCTACTATAAAATTTGTGCAAATTTGTGGGCTGATGCTCTAGTTTAAGGTCTATGTTTTACTTTGTTGAAATTTGAAAGGGTTTGATGTTAAGGTACTTCTGTCTTGTCGTAAACCAGTATTAGTAATAATAAATTTGCGGTTGTGTACTTTGTGTTTACTCCGGAGAGTGGCATGCTTTAATGCTGTTGCTTTCAGTTTAGGATTTGGGAACAAAACTCAAGCATAAGTTAAATTTAAACTCATCTTATTGCTAAAAAAAAAGCTCCATGGAGGATAATGCAGTAATTCTCTGCATTGCATGCTGCAGATTACATATCTATATGTTACATTTACCATACAAATAAGACTCATATGAAGCAAATACAAATCAACATATTAAGAAACATTAACTCCCAAATTCTGCCTTGTTAACTACTCTAAAAGGGAGAACAATTATTCTAAACAGCAATGCATGATTGCCAAGGTATTCTGCCACACCCCTGATCTGAGAAACAATATATGCATATATATATATATATCAATATGTGCATATATATATATATATATATATATAATACAACTCTTCTTTGAGTTGATCTTAATCAACTCCGAAACCTTGTTTGACCATAGAACTCAGCTATGAACTTCTCTGCCCTGGAATCAATCCCTTCTTCCTCTGATTGACTCTTCTTTTCACAGCCATTGCATTCATCTTCTTCTTCTTCTTCTTCTTCTTCTTCTTCTTCTTCTGTTAAGAAACTTTCCCTTCCATTGTGATTGCCATAAAACCCACCATCTTCATCAGCAGCAATATCGTAATCGAATTCGACTGCCTTTGCACCTACGCAAGGGAAAAGGGACCGCATGGAGCCTGTAAGATGATCCTTTTTGACAGGGGAATCAGGAGTCCTATCAAAAGAGAGCTGACGTTCCATATAGTGGATTTGGTGAGTACGAGCTTTACCTCCAAACCCCTTGGCCTTAATCCCTCTCTTGAACGCACCAACTTTTCTTGCCCATAGCAACGATAAACGCAACAGATTCCATGCTTTGCCAGCAACAACACTACTTTTTTTCTTTGGCATATTCATTTACCTGATCCGGAGCAGCTAGCTAAACTCTACTAATATGTTTAAAAAAGAAAGTTAGTTGAGATATTAAAAGGAAATGAAAATGGAGTTGAAAGTTGATGCATTTTCACTATTGTATTGCTGAAAATGATATCTCATCCGACTTCCATAGGTATAGTAGAGTTGTCCTAAGCAATTGGCCATGGCTTTAGCCTCTAGTAGTGTGAGTCAGGCTACACGTCAACAATGAAGAAGATTAGATTTTTTTTAAAAAAGGGGGTTTGCAACTGGCTAACTAGTTCAAGTCACAATTTCTTTATTAATTTTTTTCTTGTTCTTTTCTGCTTTCTTTTTTCCTTTTTTCTTTCTGTCAAAAGGTTTGTTGCAAGGAACGACCCTTGACCCTTTGTTGTTGAAAACATGACAACATTAATTCTACCACTCCAAATTCAATTAAAGAGTTAAAAGACCCACCAAACAAATCATTAATGGGGTTTCAAGTAGAAGTGCTCCAACTATCTAAATTCCAATACAAGCTCAAACTCTAAGCCCAATTTGTGATAGGATCTTTTTCTCTTAGCCCAAAATTCGCCCAGTGGTGGAAGATTACAAAAGGGTTTTGGGCTAAATTGGCCTTTTGAAGTTGAAGGACAACATCAATGGCCAGTTAGTTTTTTTTTTCCGGCCACAAATGGCCAATAAGGAAAGGTGCTATGGCAATAAAATATTGTCTCTGTCACAACGTAACCATTGCCTAAAAATGTGATGCAAAGTTGTAACGCATGGCGGAGATTTCCATGTTAATGCTTAGTTTACTTACCATATAATACCTTTTCAACGATTTACTGTTTAAGTTTTAACCACATAAATGAAATTTACTTACTTTTCATCCATTATAAAGAAAGGGCTAAGGTTCTAGACATCCTCTTCATCTTGCATCTTTTTTCGTTTGCTTTTCTCCACAAACACACAGAGACAGAGTGACAATGGCAACCCTTAAAGTGCCAGCTCATCTTCCTGCTCCTTCTGAGGATGTTGAGCAACTTCGTAAAGCTTTTGAAGGTCTTTTATTCTTTTTAAATTGATCAATCTTTTATTTTTAATGTAAAGATGCTTTTTTAACTTTGATTTGTTGTTGTTGAGTTGATTTTTGATCATGTCACATTGTATGGGATCATGGGTTTCATGTATTTTGGTTGATCTGCTTTGTTCCTGGGTGGTTTCATGTTTTGTTATCTTCTTTTTTATTATGATCTTTGGAAGTCAGTCATATTATCTGATAGGAGTGATTTTTTTTTTTCAAAAAAAGAACGAAACTTTGGGGTTTGGTTTTGTCCACTAAGTGAGAAATGATGTTGATCAGATTCATCTGGAAATGTTTACTTTTACTGGTCATGGATTTCTCTGCTGATCGCTATTGTTTTGATCTCTTAGTGTTGGATCACCATCTGATCTGCATTTTAAATGTTCTTGATGTTTTGGGTTGTTATTTTGGGGTAGGGGGATTATTGAATCAAATATTTTTGGAAGATTTTTTTAGTTAATATCAAGCAAGAGTAAAAGGATATTTGCCACATTAGATTTTGCCTTTATAGTTTTGACATTGTAGATCAGTTCACCTTTCCATCCTCAAAGCTCTCCTTCCTTCCTACCAAACATTGCATTAGATTTTATTGTCATCATCTGGCATTTGTATCTTTATATTGGAAAACCATCTTCTTTTCTCAATCAGCATTTTAGGGGGTAATGAAATAATACTGAAATTATGCTATTTTGGTTATAAATATTGTATCAGATAATAAGCAGATATTAACTTTTAATAATTTGCTTCTCCGTGCTGAAAGGCAGTCTATGACCATGATCTGTTTTTGATAATCTTTTGCAGGCTGGGGTACAAATGAGCAATTGATTATAGACATATTGGCTCACAGGAATGCACCACAGCGCAATTTAATTCGAAAAACTTATGCTGAAGCTTGTGGGGAAGATCTCCTTACGTCATTGGAGAAGGAACTTTCAAGTGACTTTGAGGTTAGATTTTGACATACTTTTTCTTAATTTGTTCGGATGAGAACAATTTACATTGCCAAGTTATCTAATGGAATAAGTAAAGTATGATTATCCTCCATTTAAGACTTGACGTTTGGCATGAACAGTTTGCAGTTCACTAGAAGTTAAAGTGGGAAAAATAATTTGCTATTATTCAGAAGGCTTCTTACATTTTTTAACTTTGTGCAAATTTTTTTTCTCTCATTCAACAGCGGGCTGTGCTGCTATTTACATTGGACCCTGCAGAGCGTGATGCATATCTGGCTAATGAATCTACAAAGAGGTTCACGTCAAGCAATTGGATTCTCATGGAAATAGCTTGCACTAGGTCTCCACATGAACTATTTAATGTGAGGAAGGCATATCATGCTCGTTATAAGAAATCCCTTGAAGAAGATGTAGCACACCACACTACTGGAGAGTACCGCAAGGTTCAGTCTTAAATTTCTTGGCCATGGGCGACTTGAATTTTTTACCCTTTTATCCTGCTCGAGTTGAATGCCTTCATAGACAACAAAATCTCTGACATGTTAATTGATTAAATTATCTTTTGAACATATTGGTCTAACCAAAATTAACACAAATCTGAATAAGATTTATGAAGTGATTGCTTCTATTACTTGTGCAGTTTTTGGTCCCACTTGTTAGTGCATTCCGATATGAGGGAGAGGAGGTAAACTTGACGTTGGCAAAGTCTGAGGCAAAGATACTTCGTGATAAGATCTCACACAAGCATTACAGTGATGAGGAGGTAATCAGGATTGTAACAACAAGGAGTAAGGCACAGCTAAATGCAACTCTCAATCACTACAATACTGCATTTGGGAATGCTATCAACAAGGTATTTATTTTGGCCCTGACTCTTAACAGTTTTCCTCCAAGATTGCATGAAAGTTTAAATTTGTATCATTTGTTGTTGTTCTTGCAACAATGAGAAGACTTGTTGGTCATCCTACCATTTTAACTACAAAAGAGTATATATGGCAGTAAAAGAAAATCTGAAGGAAGACTCTTTAACAAGTTCTGCATTAAGCTCGATGATAAAATTTTGAATGTCTACCCTGTCAAATTTATAGTAGTAATTTGAATGAAAAACAAATCTAAAGCTTACGAATGTACCATTTATTTACCTGTCCATAAATCATTTTGAGGACCTTCAGAAATAATACTTCGTTTTATTAAACACCGAAAGCTGTATCTTGAGTTGCCCAAACTTGCAACTTTTTGACTAAGAAGTTGGTGGTCTAGACAGTTCAAATTCACTAGCATTTGGCAGAAAAGACTTGCCAAGTGCAAGTATATGCTAAATAAGAGTACCTTCTAAATCAAACCGATAATAAGATACTGGTTTGCAGGATTTGAAGGCTGATCCCAAGGATGAATTCCTCAAATTGCTTAGAGCTGCAATTAAGTGCCTGACTGTCCCTGAGAAATATTTTGAGAAGGTTCTAAGGCAAGCTATCAATAAATTGGGAACAGATGAATGGGCTCTTACTAGAGTTGTCACAACTCGGGCAGAGGTGGACATGGTACGTATTAAGGAGGAATATCAGCGAAGAAACAGTGTCACCCTGGAAAAAGCAATTGCTGGGGACACTTCTGGAGACTATGAGAGAATGCTTCTTGCCTTGATTTGATCTGGGACGTCTGAGCGGTTATGAATATCTAGTTTGCATTGCCAGCTTTGAGTTATATTTGCTTGGGTTTCTGTCTTTTTCTTCCATGTAGAACTTTCGAGATGAAGTAATTGAGTTGGGTGATCTTGTTTAAGTGTGTTCCAACTATTTTTCACTGTGTTCAATTTCAGATTCAATCATGCTAGGCAATGATTGAGGTAACAAAGCATCAAAAGGCGTGAAAATCGAATCCAAAAGATGAAAAATGATTTGGGGACGGTAGGCTAATCGTCTTGCTGGTCTTTTGAGCGGCTGTCTTATGCTTTTAACATTTGTAGGGAGCATTTGATCCTTTGATCTCAACGACAACCATACACGATACTTGCATTTAAATATCAAGACATGGGACCGACTGAAGAACATATCCTAGTTTAAGCTAAAGAACATATCAGGGACCAACTCAACAAGGGCCTTTTTATTATTACACAGCAACAAACAAAGTTGGTCTGGAGTCCAGACCAAACACTAACAACACAACACTGGAAACTGTTCAAATAACTCAATTAGCCGTCCGCTTTGGGTGTTTCGATCTAAATGTTACACTCTAACAACGTATACATATACAACCACAACCAACATACGCCGCTCAAATGCCCCTCAAATGCCCAACTTTGATCGTAAGGCATCAAGGGCAGTTCACGGTTAAAACACTGCTCGCAAACTAGGATGTAAAGTAGAATACACTACTGGTACACAGGCAGCGTAATGTCAAAGTTAAACCAAGGCAATGCTGCTCTCACCACCAGGGGGCTTGCGTACACCACCCAGATAATCTCGAGATTCCACCTTCCCATCAGAAAAGATGTCGTTGCCGCTCATTTCTCGCAGTTTAGCTAGGCTCAGTGGTTTTTCTGCAGAACCTGGAGGAACATCTCCCTTGAAGATATCATTACCAGTCAGCTCTTGAAATTTTTGGTTATGTATCTTCTTTGACGTCCTGACAACAGGTTCTTCGGTGAATAGGATACTTGTTTGACCTCCAGCAGGCTATAATAGTAGCGAAAAAATAAATGTTTGATAGCGGTTCTGTGACTGGTGAAACTTCAAATTTAAGATATGGAGAAAAAGTAGGAAGAGTTTGAATAGTTCTGCATCTATCAGAACTTGCAGAACAGAGATAATCCTTGGAATAATCAAGTTGTGGAAGAACGCAGGCACGATAAGCCTAAGATGGACTTTGACTGAAGGAATTTATGCAAATTGGAGAGAACAAAATTTTATTTGCTCGATAAAAAAGTTCAGGTTTAATCTTAGACTTATGTGAACATGTGCTTATTCCCAGTATCACAAGAACATAAAAGCACCTGATCAGTTTTATAAAGGATTGCTACAGTGATACTTATAATGGAAGCCTCAATTGTCATTGCAAGACTGAGGAGACTAACAGCATTTGGCCTTTATCAACAGTTTTTGTTTTAGGAGTGATGTGGTGCATCTTTGAGGTCACTACTCCTAAAATTAAAATGGATCTAGTGTTAAAGACCAATTGGAAAGCAACTATTCAGCCAAACCCTCCAAAAGATAACTTGTATATGGAAAAGGCAATACCACTGAATCAACTGTTCTAACTTTCTACCAAGGCTAAAACAGCGAGAAAGGATTATCAGACAAGAAAATATAAACTCACATTTGAAACTTTGACGGATGTGCGCATATTTCGTGGTGCAGGTTCTCCCATGTTGTTGCTTTCTCTTGATTCAGTGGAGGGTGTAGCAGCCGATGAATGTGGCATAATTTCAGGAGGAGGGGCAAAGATGTCATGTCCACTGATCTCCTTATACTTGGCATTTGATATTTGCTTTTTATTCTTTGCATCTGACTCACTTTGCAATGTGCCGCTTAACTCTAGCTGCTTTGCTACCTCAGGGAGAGAGATAGGCTTCTTAGGAGAAACACTCCCATCAGTACTGAATGATATTTGGCTAATGCCATTCACTGCTTGCTGAAAATCATATCACCAAAGTTTAAAATAGTAAATTTACATCTTGGACAACTGGTGAACAATCATGCTCATTCTGCAAGGAAGATCAAATGGATACCTGATACATGCGCAATCCTGTTTTATTTGTAGGATTAGTAGCAGTAGGTTCAGATGCACCGTTAGCACCATTGGTAGCAAATATGCCACTACCAGTCATCTCTTTCATTTTGTAACCTGAGCAAGGCTTCCTGAAAGAGCAATAGTGAACAATTATAAATGGACTCAGATGAATGATAGCCACACGTCCAAAATGGCCCTTGATGAATGTACTATATTACATAACTCCATGCCATAGAACAAATGAGAAAGAAGGATTTTAGTTCACTCAAGAGACTCAAGCAGAGTCATGAAGTTCTTAGAACAAAGTCCAATTTCTGGGAGTATATGCATCAATAATCCATGGCTAATCCACAATCCAATGAGCATTATAAGATACCATATAACTGAAAGTCTCAATATTAGTTTGAGCAGGGCGCTTTCTTTACCAAATGAAATTGCATATAATCCATGACCATGGAATTAAATTAGTTATCTTAAAAGCCCAAGGAATTCCCACATCAGTTCTAGATCTAACTTGTAAGGTAGTATTAGTCTTAAACCAGTATGAGCTGAGTTGGAGAACACAACTGGAATATTCAATGAATAACATGCAGAGGAACTGAAAAAACAAAAAAAAAAAAAAGAAATAAACAAATGAAGCAAACGGAGACAAAAGAATTCAGAAATAATGAAGATATATATATAAATGAGGAAACTTCCAGAGTGCAGTCTACTTTAATGTTACTCTTTAGCCAACTGGACCTGACAGTTTAGATTTAAGATAACACCTAAAATATATTATACCCAACATTATGTTTGTCATGGTCTATCTTTCAATGTCTAATTTAAAAGATTTCTCAGTTCAAATGTCACGGGTCGAGACTTAAACTCCGAACCCGCACGGCTCCAGGTCCCGAGCATTCACCCTTCCGACATTTCAGATCAGCCTGACCGCTACGGTTCACACCCTTGTGAGGTATTGTCCGCTCTGGCCCCTCTGGCCTCACGGTTTTATCCTACAAAAGACGCCTCACAAGAGAGAGGTGGTGTGAACCCTTTTATACTCCAGTGAGCCTCCTATTATGTTCGATGTGGGATTCAGGACTCTTCCTTAGATTCGTGACATTCTCCCCACCCAACCTCGTGACGCCCTCGTCACAGAGGCTGGCCACCCTGCCTACCTCCCTTAAGGTTGGCGTGGATCGAACGGTTTAGGGCTGGCTCTGATACCACTTGTCACGGGTCGAGACTTAAGCTCCGAACCCGCGCGGCTCCGAAACCCGAGCATTCACCCTTCCAACGTCCCAGATCAGCCTGACCACCACGGTTTACACCCTTGTGAGGTATTGTCCGCTCTGACCTCCCTGGCCTCATGGTTTTATCCTATAAAAGACGCCTCACAAGAGAGAGGTGGTGTGAACCCTTTTATACCCCAATGACCCTCCTATTATGTTCGATGTGGGATTCAGGATTCTTCCTTAGATCCGTAACACAAACACATTATTTTCAAATGAAGCACATAAAAAAAAGTAACTACCAAATGAAATCTAATACAAAAAAGACATGAACAGGTCATAAGTTATCAATGTAAGCATGTCACGCCCTGGGCGGGTGTATCCGACGCACAAGCCTGAGCACCAAAGGTTAAGGCTCAAGCACCAGGGACATTGGCAGTCGTTTACGCACTAGGCCTTGGAAAGGAGTCCAGACCTCTCGCACAACATGCAGGCCAGCCCGCACAGCCAGAGCCAGGCCTACAAGATGCCCACACCACACCTAAGAGGGTCCAAGGGAGTAAGTTCGCTCCAAGTTCTTCTAGAAGCAGTCAGGATTGGCAAGATCCTTCAACAGGATCTAGTTGACCCTGAAAATCAAGAGAAACCTTCTGTATTAATGTGTAATCTGTGTAATCCCTAATTTTTAGGAGATATTGTACTCCTTTGATTTTAGGAGCTACCCATAAGTTTAGTTGGGGGCCTCAACTATAAATAGGGGTCGCCCCACCCTCATTTGTACATCATCACACTTTGCTTAAGTAATAGACAGTGTATATTCTAGCAATTCTCTTGTTCTCTCAAACTTACGCATTATGTCCTTCCAGTTGTTCTAATGCCCGCACACTTGTATTTTAGGCTGACTTAGGCTAAAAGTAGGTGATTCCAAGCCTAAGGCCGCATGGATTCTGAGTCTTAGGTCAAAACCCTTGACAGTTGATACCATAATAGGTTCGATTCAAGTTCTGCTTGTGTTTGTATGCAAGTTAGATCGCAGTCAAGGAGATGGCATCTCAAAGCGATGTTGCTAGCCAACAATTAGAGGCCTAGGAGCAAGGTCGCGGAAGGGGCAAAAAAGCCAATTCGAGAGACATTTGATCTACCATGGACGGGAGGCTATCCAAGGTAAAGATGACCACGGGCGATGTGAAGGAGAAGCTTGACGATGTGAAGACTCACATTGAAGTGCTAGGCTCAATGGAGGAGGAGCTCAAGGGTGAGTTGCAAGCTGCTCTCAATGAAGGCCTTGACATGATCACCCAGAATAACAAAGTCTTGGAAGCTCAGGTGGAGATCATGCGCAATGGGATGGAGGCCATGCGTAAAAAGATAGAGGAGCTCAGGGGGGAGCTCACTATTTGCAAGACTGCCATTGGGAATGGCATGTTTGCTGGAGTGTCTAAGACTCGTGTGGAGATTCCAAGCCCAAAGAGTTCAAACGGACAAGGGCGACCAAGGAAGTAGATAACTATCTATAGGGGACGAAGCAACACTTTTGGGCCACAGGCATGCAAGACGATGCTACCAAGGTAAACACCGCTTCAATGTATCTTACTGATGTTGCCTTATTGTGGTGGAGGTGCAAGTGTGATGATGTCCGAGGCAAGGGCACCATGATTGGAACTTGGGAAAAGTTCCAAAAAGAGTTCAGGGAGCAGTTTTACCCGGAGTACACCAATGATGAGGCACGGGCAAAGTTGCGTAGGCTTAACCAGCAAGGGGACTTGAGGGGGTACATCCAGAAATTCTCTAAACTAATCCTTCAGATCTCAAATCTGAGTAAGAGGGAGGGTCTATTTGCTTTCATGGATGGGTTGAAGCCGTGGGTGAAGCACGAGCTACAACGAAGGGGAGTTCGTGACTTGGCTAAAGCCATAACTACTGCTGAGTCCTTGGTGGAGTTCAAACCACAGAACAAGTTCGAGTCTTCCAAGCCCAAGGGAAAGGGCAAAGACAAGAGAGATCAGGAGAGACAGCCAAGGGAAAGGACCGTGACCGGCAGTCCAAGGATGGGGACCGAGACCATTCGGACAAAGATGGCGAGAAGAAGCCACCAATAGGGAAATGGAAGACAAAGGGAGACTGTGAGCCGATCTCATGCTACCTATGTGGAGAGCGACACATAGCACGCAATTGCCCAAAGAGGGGCAAGCTAGCTGCTGTAGACAAAGAGTTAGATGAGGAGCCAAAGGCAAGGACAGCAAAGCTTGGGTCATTGGTGCTTGTCCAGAGTAAGGGGAGCCGCAAGCCAAAGGGGTTGATGTTTGCGGATCTGATGGTTGCGGGTAGGAAAGTGAACGCACTAGTGGACACAGGTGCCTCACATTTGTTTATTTCAAGTGATGGAGTTCAAAAACTCGAACTAAAGGTGCAAAAAGGGACTGGTACCATCAAGATGGTGAACTCCAAGGAGATTCCAGCCATTGGAGTAGTGCGGAGAGTGGAGTTACAGCTTGAAAACTGGAAGGGCAAGGAAACCATTGAAGTAATACCCTTGGATGACTATGAGTTTGTGATTTGGTAAGATTTCCTTGTTCGGATTAACGCCCTCATTGTGCCTTTTGCCAATTGTATATGCATTCTAGATGCACGGTGCCAATGCCTTGTACGATTGAGGCGTGGGTCCGGGATTGGGTCCAAGGTGCTGTCAACTATTCAATTTGCCGAGGCGGTGAGCAGCGATGAAAACACCTTTTTGGCAGCCCTGAAGTATGAGAAACCGAGGGAGAAGGAGACCGACACCACCTTGGAGGTGCTGGAGACCTTTAGCGATGTGATGCCCGCTAAGCTGCCAGGCAAGTTGCCACCCAAGAGAGAGGTGGACCACAGGATCGAGTCGATGTTCGAGGCCAAGCCACCAGCCAGGGCCACTTACCGAATGTCTCCCCCAGAGTTGGAGGAGTTAAGGAAGCAACTCGGGGAGCTGATTGATGCGGGGTACATCAGGCCATCCAAGGCCCCGTATGGTGCACCGGTGTTGTTCCAACCCAAGCACGATGGGTCGATGCAGTTGTGCATAGACTACCGGGCATTGAACAAGCTGACCGTGAAGAACAAGTATCCTATTCCATTCATTGCGGACTTGTTCGATCAACTTGGAAGCACAAAGTGGTTTTCCAAGCTGGATTTGAGGTCAGGTTACTACCAAGTCAAGATCAAGGAGGGAGATGAGCCCAAGACAGCATGTGTTACCCGCTATGGTTCGTATAAATTCTTGGTCATACCATTCGGACTCACCAATGCTCCAGCCACATTTTGCACTCTAATGAACAAGGTACTTAAATCGTTCCTTGATCATTTTGTTGTGGTTTATCTTGATGATATTGTGGTCTATAACCAGGCATTGGAGGACCATGTAGATCACTTGAGATAGGTGTTGCAGGGGAACGAACTATATGTCGAGGGAAAAGTGCTCATTTGCCCAGTAGGAGATCCCGTTCTTAGGCCACATAGTGGGAGGTGGCAAGATTTGCATGGATGAAGTCAAGGTACGTGCCATCTTGGAGTGGGAACCGCCAGCCAAGGTCACTGAGTTGAGGTCATTCCTTGGGCTAGTCAACTACTACAGATGTTTCATCAAAGGCCATTCAGCCATAGCCACGCCATTGACTGACTTGCTCAAAAAAGGGAAAGCATTGGAGTGGAGCGCAGGGTGCCAGGAAGCCTTTGATTGGTTGAAGCATGCTGTGACCGAAGAGCCAGTCTTGGCCTTGCCAGACCATGCCAAGCTGTATGAGGTGCATACAGACGCATCAAACTATGTAATAAGGGGTGTGTCGATGCAGGAGGGTCATCCAATTGCATTTGAGAGCCGGAAGCTCAATGAGACTGAGCGCAGGCACACGGTCCAAGAAAAGGAGATGACAGCAGTGGTGCACTACTTGCACACTTGGCACCATTACCTGTTGGGGTCGAGGTTTGTGGTCAAGACGGACAATGTGGCGACTAGCTACTTCCAAATGCAGAAGAAGCTGCCCCTAAGCAAGCGAGATGGCAAGATTTTCTTGTGGAATTTGATTACAAGTTGGAGTACAAGCCTGGGCAGGCAAACCTAATGGCTGACACGTTGAGCAGAAAGGCGAGCCTAGCTGCCATTAGCCAACCAGAGGGTTCCTTGATGCTGCGTATTAGTAAGGGGCTCGCACAAAATCCTACAGCCATAGCTCTCATCGGGCATGCCAAGCAAGGTAAGACTAGACGATTTTGTGTGCAAGATGATTTGTTGCTTACCAAGGGCAGTAGGTTGTTTGTGCCACAGCATGGGAAGCTCTGCAGGGAAGTCATGCACGAGTACCATGATTCAAGGTGGGCTGGACACCCAGGGGTGAGCCACACCTTGGCTTTGCTAGAGGACCGATACTACTGGCCGCACATGAGGGAAGATGTGGAGGCCTATGTGAAGACTTGTCTTGTGTGCCAATAAGACAAGGTGGAGCTTAAGAAACCAAGCGGTCTCTTAGAGCCATTGCCAGTGCCAATGCGACCATGGGAAAACGTCACTCTAAACTTTATAGTTAGTCTTCCCAAAACAGAGGGGTTTGGGAGAATCATGGTAGTGGTTGACAAGTTTTCCAAGTATGAGATTTTCATTCCAACAACCAAGGAGTACCTAGCCGAAGAGGCAGCGCGATTGTTCCTGAAGAACGTGGTGAAGTACTGGGGAGTGCCGAGGACCATTGTTAATGATCGGGCCGAACGTTTTATAGGCAGATTCTAGACTAAGTTGTTCAAGCTGTTGGGATCAGACTTGAACTTTGCCACCAGCATGCATCCGCAGACCGATGGGCAGACTAAGCATGTGAATGGATTGTTGGAGGTATAACTCAAGCACTATGTGAGTGCCACGCAAAGGGACTAGCCAAAGCTGTTAGATGTCGCCCAATTTTCCTACAACTTGCAAATGAGTGAAGCAACGAACCAGAATCCATTTGAGATTGTGACAGGTCAGCAACTGCTAACACCCGGTTCGATTGCTGCAGGTTATACAGGGCCAAATCCAACAACATACAAGTTTGCCAAGGCTTGGCAAGAGCAAGTCGACTTGGGTAGAGTCTATCTCCACAAAGCCGCGAAAAGGTCGAAGAAGTGAGCAGACCAGAAGAGGTGGGACGTGCAGTTCCAAGTAGGAGACTTGGTGTTGGTGAAGCTGCATCACATTTTGCGCCACAAGGGGTGCACAAAGGCCTTGTTCGGAGGTATGAAGGACCTTTCAAAGTTCTCAAAAGGGTAGGCAAAGTTGCCTACAAGCTGGATATGCCACCCAATCCGAGTGTCACGAGCCGCGCATTTCCCATTCTGAAACCACACTTCTGTGCGGCACCAAGACTACTCATAGTCGAGGTCAGCTTTCCATGAGTCCATTTTTCCTTGGACAGCTTAGTTTCAATCCTTCAAGCCGCATACATAGGAGCCTTTTCTTTGGCTTTGACCCCGTAGGGTTACTCATTCCGAACTCTATAGGGAGGAACCCAACTCCCGTCACTCATCAACCCACGATTCTCAAAATGGCCCCGAGCACCTATCTCTACCCATAGGGCTTAAGGTCTCGAGCACCGACCCTTAAATACCCGTGGGGCACGCAACCTCGGTTCTCATTATATTATTACTTCTTGACATGGTGAGAACCCAACACCATGTCTGCCCGTATCGTACGCAAACTCTCGTATCAAGTTTACGCAAGCATGACACTTAAGCTAGTCAACAGCCAGCTTAGAGCTCATCTCATCCCACGGGACTCAGTTCTTAGGGCTTAGGCCCTTAGCTTCTATGTAGACTGCCCGCACGCATGATTGACATCCAACATCATGCTAGTCCCGCAAGGGGGACTTGGGTGGACTGCCCCAGCTGCAGCACATCTCTAGCGATTGGCCACAAGGGTCTAGCAGCGTGCCTGCCTGCTAGCCCGCACATCCTTCAAGCTCGATGGCATCCCTCCTACGCAAATACCATCTCATGATCCTTCTGGCTCAAGGAGGGGAAATCGAGGGGCATAGTAAACTCTACCATGTAACCCCATGGCTCAACGCAAAGAGACGATACGAGGCCCGCCGGCCCCAACCGTCCCCGAGTTTACCATGACCCGAGGAAACATCGTGCCACGCTCGTGACCCTATGATGCCCGCCCGCCTAGACCCCACTAGTGCCTAGGAGTAGCTCACTTCAGACTAGCCAGGCCCCTGCCTGCCCGCTAGCCAAAGGGGTGGTGGAGAGCTGACACCAGTCATCCCCCTATAAAGAGCGTAAGAGATTTTCCTAGTCTCCTACCAGTAACTGTAAGATTCTCTGAAATGGGGACACTTTTCTCTCCAGCCATCTTAGGGCCTTTCTCCGGCTAACTCAGGGTCCCATAACCTTCTTCTTGGTCACCATTATTCCTTGATTCTACTCGTTGCTCCACCAACCCACTCGAAGGTGCCCGCACATGGCTTCAATCAACAGCACCTGACTGGCTAGCTGGTCCCAAGGCACCGATGCACTACCTCACACTTACCTGCATATCTTGGGGTTTAGGGCTCAAACTATCCACGCACAATATCCCCAACATGTTCTCATGCTCAGAATGCCCGCACACGACTTCTACTAATGGCACCCGCCGAGCTACTTGGTTTGAGGATGCTTGCCACTGTCCCAAACTTACCAGCGTATCTTGCGGTCCAAGGCTCCCACTGCCCGCACAACATATTAGTAACATGTTCCAATGCTCCAAATGCACGCCCGCATCGCTTAGAACCACTTTCCCGCCAGTTTGGTCTCGACCGCTACTCAGTTCAGGGTCAGTCATAGTAGGACCAAGGCACACCAAGGCCTGACCATGACACTGAGGGTACACCTAATATTCCATGTTAGCATGCTCAAGCCATTCCATAAGGATGAGGGAGATCCAAAACGGGTAGAGTCGAAGCATGCACCTTTGGGAACCAGGGTCTCATATGAGAGAAAGGTCCACAACATCATTGCTGACCGAGAAGTGAGGCAGAAGAACTATCAACCAAGACAAGAGTACTTGGTGTGCTGGAAGGAACTTCTAGACAGTGAGGCAAGCTGGGAGCCAACGGAAGACTTATGGCAATTTTAGGACCAGATTAAGCAATTCCATGTAGAGGACGAGACGAGGATGTCGCGCAATCAGGTGGGGGAGAATGTCACGTCCTAGGCAAGCGCACCCAGCGCACAAGCCTGAGCACCAGAGGTTAAGGCTCGAGCACCAAGGACATTGGCGGTCGTTTGTGCACTAGGCCTTGGAGAGGAGTCCAGACCACCTGCACAGCATGTAGGCCTGCCCACATAGCCAGAGCCAACCCCGCAAGACGCCCGCACCACACCTAGGAGGGCCTAAGAAAGTAAGTGCACTCCAAGATTGACAAGAGCCTTCAGTAGGATCTAGTTGACCTTGAAAATGAGGAGGAGCCTTCTATATTAATATGTAATTTGTGTTATCCCTGATTTTTAAGAGATATTGTAATCTTTTGATTTTAGGAGTTAGCCATAAGTTTAGTTGGGAGCCTCAACTATAAATATAGGGTCGCCCCACCCTCTTTTGTATATAATCAGACACTTTGCTTCAGTAATATATAGTGCATATTCCAACAATTCTTTTGTTCTCTCAAACTTGCGCATTCTGTCCTTCCAGTTGTTCTAGTGCCCGCATGTTTGTGTTTTAAGCTGACTTAAGCTAAAAGGAGGTGATTCCAAGCCTAAGGCCGCACGGATTCTGAGTCTTAGATCAAAACCCGTAACAAGTACTCCATAATGCATGATTAAATATATGCTTTCATATGAAAAAAGATAAAGTTTTTTTTATTTTTTATTGCATGTTGGTTAAGGAATAAACAAATAAAAGAACTCAAAAAGAGAAAAGAAGGACTTTTAGCCAGATTAACACTTAAACCACTCAAACAAACTGAATATTTCAACCAAATAAATAGAATATAAATTAGGTAATTTAAACAGTCCATGCATTAATGAAACAGATCAAAGCTTCTCTTTCTTTAAAAAAAAAAAAATTCTGATTATATTAACGAAATTTCCTCAGCTAATAAAATAGTAAAAATTTATAACTTGAAACAGATCAAAAACCAAACCCCAAAAAAATGTAACAGTAGATCTGGTTCTACAATTTAAAACTAGCAAGAAGTGGACGAAATTCAAGATTTCATTTTTACAATAAAAAGTAACTCAAATTTCAAACTCCACAAAAAAAAAAAAAAACTTTTTTTGAGAAAAAAAGCTAAGCTGAAAATAGAAAGGGAACTTACTTCTTCAAGAGAGATTGAGCTTCTTCATCAGTAACCTGACCTCCGAACAGCACTTTGCTGATTCTATCCGACGGCTGTTATTCAATGCATCATTCGTCAGATAAAGAAAATATGTATATATATATAGATAATGCGCATGCATATATATATATATATATATATACATGAATGAGTATATAGAAATAAATATAATAGTAATGGACCTGGATTGTACGACCAGAGGAAGGCTGGGCAGAGGCGGAGGAGGCGGCGATGTTGGAGGAGGCAGACGGTGGAGCCTCCTTCCACGTCAGCAGATCGGCCGTTGAGGTGTGAGGCTTTCGAATCGGCGTGCTTCTCTCCATTTTTTTTCTTGTGTGCTATGAGCTCAAGTCAAGAGTCCTTCGGAGATATTTTTTCTTTAAAAGATGAGAAAGAAATAACTCGAATTTTTTTAAAGGATATATATACAAAATTTTTTAAATTAAAGATACGTACTCTCGTGGTTTCGAGGAATCTAAATACTCGCTGTTGAAAATTGACACGTGTCAGAAACCCATGCAGAGTATTGATTTTTTTTTTTTTTTTACTTTTTAAATTATTATGAGAGTTCATTTTTTTTTTTATAAAAACATTCTTTTTTTTTTCTCAATGTATAAAGCATAATTTCTATTTTCTTAGGGTTTTATAAAATGCATAATTTATATACATTGGTTCTCACTAGTAATTTAATATTGATTGATAATATTCCATGTAAATTGAAAACAATAATGTCAAACAATATATATTTACCAGTTTGCCACTAACATTGATAAACTCAAAGGTCAAAGAAATAATAGGAAAATATATATATATATATTTTTTTGAAGAATAGGAAAAATTAATTTTAAGACATATATATAATTATTAATAGTTTCCTTTTTCAACTAATCTTAAGTGAATGAAGCTGATCAAAGAAAGGAAATAAACTCATTATGGGCATATGTACTGAAAAAAAAAAAAAAGCAATGAAATGGTAAAACATCATATTTGCATTTATGTCCAAAATTAATGTAATATTTATTGAATATGTAGGAAGTAGGACCAATTAAATTTCAAAGAGCAGTTAGTACATATGTTGTTTTGGTACAAGGAAAAATAATGCTAAACTATCAAACAACATAACTTGGTGTATTTTATAAGCATAAATTAATGTTGCTTTTAATTATTATTTAATTTACCTTTCCAAATTATATTTTTTTCAATTTAAATAATTATATCTATATATACTAGTTCTTTCCTCATCAAAACAAATAATTAAACATCACAAAAAATTACTTAAATCAATGTGTAATTTGACGCTTTTCTTAAAATAATTTTAAATTTAATTCAAATTTATAATTTAACATTTTAAATTAAAAAATTTACGAAGTTGATATTTGAATCTTGACATTTATTATTCGTATAAATTGTGTCAGATATATATATTTAAAAAAAAAAAAGTCCCCACACCAAATGACTAAAGTATGAATAGAGGTCTAGGAGTTCTTAATATTTTATTAGTTTTAAACATGAAACCCAAGCCAAATTTGGAAATAGGTGGAGGCCATGAAATTAGGTTGAGGGTTGCATGTCAAATTAAACTTTTTTTTTTTTTGGCATTTGACAAGATAATCTTTTTATAGAGAGAGTAAAAAGGAAATTTAAATTGCAAGACAAATCTTTACGTTTTTCTTGTTTATATTGGCTTGAACTTTGAAACTTTGATTGATAACAAAGAAAAGAAAAGAAAATGACAGATCAATCTGTTTTATTTCTATTGTCTTTATTTGGGAAACAACTCCTTGAACATATAGGAATATAGAAAAAGTTTTTTTTTTTTTTTTATAAAACCATTAAACATTTATATTTTTAATATTTTAGGATGGTAAGAGTATTTGTTTGTTTGTAGTTTACAAAATAATCAAAAGTGATGATATATAAATGTATTTTAATTATATATATTTTTATATATTTTATACATTGACAATAAAATTTTTATAATATGTAAGAAAATTAGAGTGTAAAAATATTAAAATTTAAATCATGATTAATACACAATGTTTAAACTTGAATTAAAATTTGCATTCGAATATTTAATTTAATGATTGATACATATTTTTTATTTAAAAAAATCAGAATTCAAATTTATAAAAAAAAAAATTCAATCAAACTTTAAAGTCCTCAAAATTATCAGGTAAGATTTGAATTCATAACACAAAGTTTTTTTTTTTTTTTGTTTGATTTGGCAAGAAAACTCCAATTGAAAAGTTGGTTATGATGAAAAGGACATGTGAATTACAAGGTTGACAAATGTAACACTTACCTTTATTACTATTTTGTCTAAACATTGAAGATATAGAGTCCGTGTAATTAATAACCAAGAAAAGAAGGGTGCGATGTCAACTTCTTTTTCAATGATCTCTGGTTGGGTAACAGCTTGTTAATTAAATTTGTTCAAATCTTAATTTCTTATGATTAACTCCTATAATCCTTTCCCTTTCATTTGGAACAAATGTGAGTTGAGTGAGTCATTTTAACTTTTTGATTAATAACTATATCATAGACAGTTAATTAATGCATGCCAATTTTGGTTATATGCCAATGATTGCTGCTTTCTACCACATCACATCAGAGAAAAAAGAAAAACCTAAAATTAAACCAAGGAAAAATAAATAAATAAATACTGAAGTGATACACAGGAAATAATTAAATCAAGTGTATATATATACCCACAATATTTGGTAGTGTTTTTTTTTTTTTTTTTGTAATTAAGTGGAAGGTTGCATTCCCATACAATACTTGGCTTTTCTAATTTTTATTGTTTTCCTTTTTCTTTTCAATTTTTTGGAGAAGAGATTTTTTGGTTACATATATATATTTTTAATTCAAACCTTGTTCTTTTAGTTGGGAATACATGCATGATCCACTTAATGCGCCAAATACCAAGCTATCTATAATGCATTTATTTTATTTTTTTTATTTTTTTATCATTGGACTTGATAATTTAAAATATAATACGATAATATTATATAAACATAATATGAAAATAGGATTCAAAAGTAATATAATTTAAAATTTTAATAATAACCATATATAAGTTTAATAAAACAAAAAAATATATATTTCATATTTTTGTATTAACGTAAATTGTAATATGTAATTATCGAATAAAATATAATATGAATATAAAAATTTTAATATTTTACATGACATTAATACACATATCGTCAACTACTTATACATGGTTATATAATTACTTATATGAATATCCTCCATATTTAATTTTCTTTGAGAAAAAGAAGAAAGATGGAAGTTGCATTTCTCTTGTTACTTTTCGGCCATTTAATACATGCATTTAAGCTAAGAAAACTCCATACTTTACAGGCTCATGAACGCATCCATGCATGCCTAATTAGATTGAAAAAAAAAAGAAAAGAAAAAAGAAACCCTAAGTTGGTGAATGGTAATTAATCTACCAGCTGTACATTGAAACACCTTGAGCTACAGACAATATGAATCTCAACTACACATGCCTTATTGATTTGTGATCTGTATAATATCAGGTTAAAGCTTAAACAAGAGAAAAATCATTTGGATTTAGCTCAAGTGATAAAAATGAGATTAAATATCCAACAATAATGCTCTTGTACTAAAAACAGAAGATCAATTGAACTATGTATCTTCAAAAACCTTCAAGAAATTGATCTGATTCCTTCTTCAAAAGAGTTGAATAGGATCTCTCTTTACTCTCATATCTACAGTTTAATAACAAATTACAAAAAAAAAAAAAAAAAGGTAAACTCCATAATTCCTCAGTGCTTTAGCCTCTCCTTTGTGACTACAGTGCCTCCATAGCAGCTGCTGCAAACATTTCATAATCTGCACAACTGCACCCTCCACCAATATCATTGCATCCACAGCCATCCCAATTGTTGTTAAACCTTTTCTTTCTCTTCTCTATTTGCACAATTGCTGGACCTCGAACTAATGTCATTGATATTTGTAGTGAAGGAGGCTCAAGACTTTCACGAACACGATTATTCATTGAAACCATGGTAAGCCAATATTTGCCAATCTCCACGTTTAGTGATTCAAAAACGGCTTTCCATGGGATTTCAGCTCTGCCCAAAAGCTGTGACTTCCCTATCCTTCCAAGAACTGGGGTTCTGCTCCTCCAGCGGAGCTCAAAAACTACAGTTTGTTGCTTCAGGTCATTGAGAGATTCTTCAGCTCCTGAGCATTCCAAAGAGAAGGACACATTCCAAATAAGCAGCTCTGACTTTGAGTAGATCTCCTGGCTATTTAGTTGAATTCTCTTGTTGTTTCCAGCAGAGAGATAGTATCTGATAAAAAGGTTTCCAGGGGACTTTGGTTCTATGTTTTTGGCTTGCAAGATTCTCAGTTCACAGCAAAGAGACGAAAGGAAATGAGAAACACCCATTGAGGGAAAGAATTCTCTGGTGAAGTTTTTGACTGCAGAGAAAGCTATGGCTTGGTTAATTATAATCGGTTATTTTGTGATGATTCTTTGGGTGGAGCTGAGACTGAGAGGTTATATGTATGTACATAAAGGCCACTGCATGTAAAGCAAATGGCAGGAAAGTGAAGCATTTGCTTTCAAGGAAGTTGCTGAATGATATTATCCACACATAGATCAAATTTAAATATATATAGTTTTTAGTGGTAGAAAGTGAATCAGCCACCAAAATTGAATTAGTATAAATTTTATTTATGAAGTGAAAGATCCCATGAGATTCTGTAGATTAAAGTTTTAAAATTAGAATAAGCCCCCTGTTGAACATGAAGGGCTGGAAAATCCTAATCTGACCCTTGCAAAAGTTAATTGCAACTGTTCCACTTGCTTTCTAGCTCATTTGTATCTGACATTGTATTTTTCTTTTTGATTAACTAGTTAGAAACCTTCCAAAATCACAATCTAACAGGATACACGCAGGATTTGAGTAGATTCCCTGTAATCAGTCTTGGTCATTTCTAAAACAATAGCTTTTGCAGCAGGAAAGCAAACAAAAACCAAAGTTTTTGGAAGAATAAATTATAACAGTAGTAATGGATATGAAATCTTAGCCAAATCTAATTTAATTGTACTTGACTGTATATAAATTTTCGAAATAAAAAGATTCTAAAAATATTTCATCTATAATTTTTTACTATAATCTTACAATTAATCAATCATAAGAAAAAATTATGTAAGAATTCACAACTTAAAAATGCTGATTTTATATAATTTTTATATAGATTTTACATAATATTAAATTATAATCAATTAATTATATTACATTATAATAATTATAAATGATATCTGCCAAATTCTTGAACTTTACTATTGGAAAAAGCTCATGGAAGAGGGGACAGTTATCGCTTGGAGATCCTTAAGAGGTATCATCACTCTCTGCCCAGAGCTTAGTGTAAAATGATGATTATTAGTGGCATATAACTAAATCAAGAGAAAGTTCAAAAGTTGTGGTTAACACGTTGGCAAGAGGATCGTGCATGCCTACAATGTTTGTTTATAATTTATATCAAGAATCCACATCCAGCCCATTGGATTTGGATACTATTTTTAGCCGACGCACTTTTTAAAACTCCATCATTGGCTTTCGTTGCCAAATGACAAGGTTTTAATTCTTTATCCAAAGGGTATAGGTTCCGAACTTCCCTTTCTTATGAAATGCATTATTGATCAGTCAAACCCACCCACCAAGTTCTCGTCTCTACCTCTCTTTAGAAAGATTTTGGTAATTAATGTTTTAAAAGGAGTCGTTGGATTTACCATTGAAGCATTGTGTGGCTCATTTCTCTAAAACAAAGAGAAGGAAATGTTTCATGCATGGATATAGTAATTTGGACAAAACCGTATTCGTACATATAAATATTTAAACCGTATTTAAATCATATTTGATACACAAAATTATAATAAAATAAAATAATATAATATTATAAATTAAATTAAATAATATCATTTTATTTTATTTTTAATATATGTAAAAATAAAGATAAAATAATTTATTTATTTATTCAAATTATTTTTTAAAAAAATTTATACAATTTAAGTTATTAATATAATTTTTATAAATATAATTAAATATGTAAATTTAATCCTATAAATTAAAAATAATCCCCTTTACTCAGAAGAAAATTACATAATCCTATACTAAAAGAATATTAATTTTTCTTGTAATCCATATCCTACTCTTTAAATATAGATCAAACATAAAATATAATAATTATCATCTTATTTTATCAATAATATTGTGAGATTAAATATGTAATATTCTATTCCCTTCGATTTTATTCATTAGGCATCAATTCTTAGGGCAACGGGCTTTAACCTGTAAAAAAGGGTAAAAACTGGGAGGGGGGGGGGGTGGGGTGGTTAAAAACCTGTACATGAAATTTTTCTTAATGTCTACACAGATTACAATATACTTTTTGACTGTTATCGTTTAATGATTCCTAACTACCAATATTTGCAATTGTCTGATCTGATTTGCTTTCCTTTTGACTCCAGCTCATGTATTGAGCAAATACCACAGCCTGTGGTATACAATAAAAAATAATGAATTTCTTTCGGAAGGGCGATTAAAATATCAGTGGCACCTGGCATCACCTTTGCCTTACTCATTGTTCTGAACATGATGAATTTACCCCAGTGTATAATTATGTTAAACTGATTCCATGGAACGGCGAAGTCAGGTTCGAGTTGCCCCCAGCTCTTGGACATATATATATATATATATTTACCAGCGTACAGAGCAGAGACTGGAAGCTTGCCGTCGCACCAAACTCATTGCTTGATTGAACGAAGCTCCCATTTACCCTCACCATCAACAAGTCGTAACTCCAAAGCATGGAATGGTATCAAGGCAGGCCGCTGAGAAAACATAATAGCAGAAGAAATAGTTATTCGAGGGAAAAATGAGAATTGGATAGTGCAACAGTTAATGCCAACTTTGTTGCAAAGTTTGCATTAGGAAGTGGTGCATCAGATGATGAGATAATCCTGATAAGCATCCTGAATATTTTACTATTCACAGAACTAAAATTGTTCGGACAAATAATCTTGTTGGTCATTAATTCACTATCCGGTGAAACTACTTGCCTGTGATGAGGTAATAACAGTAATACCCAAATCTTTTGCCAGTCTATAAAGTTGTTCCTCAACATCGACACTCGTGGCACTGCCATTGAAAGAATACCCAGGTTAATTTGACAGCTAGCTAGATTTTTTTTCTTTTTAACAAAATACATAGGGATTAGTAACATACTTTGTGCACTCGTCAAGGATACCAAATTTAGGCTTGTGGAAGAATAACCGTGCCTGGTAAAAAAGAAATTTTGAAATCAAACAATAGAACTGTCGGCGATAAAGAGTAAAATATTGTTGTCCAAACATGGCTTGAAGGTGTAACAATTTAGCTTAACTCACCATGCCTAATCTCTGCTGTTCTCCAAGTGAGAGGATGTCTTCCCAATTGAGATTAGCATCCCAACCACCTTCCTCCCTTTCTAAAAGATAATTCAATCGAACATTTTCAAGAATAGTTTTCAAACGTGCATCAAGAATGGTTGTGGTGTCTGCAGCTTTTTTACCTGAAATTTTGCATGTTTACAATTCCCAAAAACATAGACAATTTCAATACATTGTTTTTGAAGAATTCATTGAAGAAATTAAAAAGAAACTTTGACATCATTACACATAAGAAATGATTTGTCATTCTACCATGCTTTTTAAACTATTATGTCATTCTTAATGATAGTGAGAGAGAACAGAAACATTCTCATGTGAAACCCCTAGATGGAAATTTGAGCATTTTCAACATTAATTTTAGTCCATGTCCCTTGAAAACTCATCCCAAGAGAAAAAATGCAAATACCAATTGCCCAATTTCCAGAATTTTATTCTTTTTTGGAACATGAAAACTGAATCTAGTTTTGGTTAACAACTATGTTTTGAGGAGAGACGAAGACCAAAGAGGAAATGGATGAAAATTATAAAAAAAGGACCCCAATCTTTATTGAGCTTAGTGAGAATATGATCCTGAACGGAGCACAATAGCACAATATGAACATGATTCTTAAAGTCGACTTTATATTGAGGGAGAAGGCTCAGCTTCTTGTTGTAACTAATCTTTAAAGACATCTACACATGTAAATGGCGTCTATTCTTGTACCATATAAATTAAGTCTAGAAAAATAGTCAAATTAACTCATCCAACAGAAATGTCTGAAAGTATGGCAACACAAGCAATGTGCTTTTTCATGGTTATGTTCTTAGAATAACCATTCAATCATAAATAAATAGTGGATATCAAAATAGAAACTTAAAAGATAAGGAAAGCAATGCAACTTATACAAGTAGGTTACCTTTTCCGTACAACTTTAATTCTCTCAGCTCTGCTTCCTCACGAGAGAGAGGATATATGATTTGATCCCTTAAAGTTCCCAAGCATGTATACGGCCGCTGAGGAACATAGAAGATGCCACAGTCCAATACAGCCTCTTCATCAAAATGGTGGGATGGTTTATAAAGCCTTCCACTCACAATGGGCCAAAGACCTCGAAGTACTCTGAAAACAGAACTTTTTCCACTCCCATTTGGTCCTTAAGAGATTAAAGGCATGTCAGATGTGAATCTACCATCAAGGTGAAAAATAAAAATTCCTATACTAACCAGTAACAAGCAGGCTTTTTCCTGGTACTACATCAAATGTCAACTGCGTAGCCAACAGCTTCTGTGCTGGAGTAATTATATCCACCTCGGCAAAAGAAATAACATCTTTGGCATAGAGACCAGTCCTCTGAGACCGTGACAAGTTATCAGTATTCAAATCCCCTGGTTAGATGAAAATCTTGTTAGATTAAGTGTGCAACATTTACGCAACTGAGTTAAAAATTGAAAGGCAAAAGAAAGAAAAGTTGATCCTAATCAAATTGACATGCAGTAGTGGCTGTTCAACAAAAATATTTATAATGGCCAAAACTGATCAGCTTCATCCAGAAGCGATATATCACACGGAATGCAGCAGTGGCTGATCAACAAAAATATTTCTGATGGCCAAAAAAGGTCAGTTTCATTAGAAGCTATCACAAGGAAGGACTTTCTCACGTGATGCATACTATGAGCAAATGTACATCAAATTGAAACATAACTACATTTCAAATCCCATGTTTTGGAAAGGCCCAACAAATCTCTGTATTCTGATTTTTGTTGAAATGTCCTGAAGTAAGGAACAATGTATGCATTGTCACATTGTAAGCAGATTACATGCAAACACACCTAACTGTTACATTAACCTACTTCAGTTTAAGTTAAATCAACTCAGATAAGAAATTCATTAGTCCATTGGTACCTTATCAAACAAGCACACTAACTTCTATGCATTTATATTATTATAATTTATGATTACCAACAGAAAACCTGATTCTCCCAACATGTGATATTCGAATTCTCTAAAACTTTTTCATACTCAAGAATAGCTGATTAAAAAATAAAGCTCTCAAAAGAAATGCTAGCAACTATGAGAATCTGACTAAACTTTTTGAAATC